AGAATCACTTGGGATTTTTTTATTTAATCACCAACATACTTTCTATTCTATTGAATTAAAGAGCTTCGAATGCTGATACTTCGATGAAAAATTATACAAAAGCAAAAAATAAATAAAAGAAGAAGAAGAATAAGAAGAAGAAGAAGACAAAATGGAAGCTGATGAGATGAGAAATAGAACAAAACAAAGGGAGCATCATGGAATTGGGCTCAATCAATCACTTTAGGCTACTTTTCAACAAAGTAAACCCCCTTGGCCTTAAAGTTTTCCTTCAACATTTTATTTGTTGGTTGTATCCTCTTCTCGAATAAATTTTTAAACGAGAAAATTACTAAATCAATTAATTCTTTAATTTTCTATTAACTCGATCAATTAGGTTACTAATTAAAATATCAACATTCTCAAAAACCAGCCACATTATCTTTTTTTCTTCAGGCTAAGCAGTTAAATGTTTCCCGCCATTTGGTTTGAATATATGTTCTATACTTCTATTACTGGCCCAACGAATTAATTAACCCCACTTATAAGATTAGCATTAATCTGTTTAAAATAAATTATAATGATTTCAAATTTAATTACGTCAATTAGGTCATCAAATTAATATGACCAATATTTCAGAATTTCCTCATTACTCATAAATAGTTAACTAATAAAAGTTATCTACTTGAATTTTATTCAACTAAATTCCCCGTAGAAAAATACTGTATCAAAACATACCTTTGTTTTGAATTTTTCGTCGCGAGATTTATTAGAAGCACCTGCCGCTCAACTGCTTATTCAACTAGGTTCCATGTTTTCTGAAGTTCAATATGAAATAATATCTACTGGAGTGTATGTACGTAGTGGTCTCTCTCTTTTTTTCGTTAAAATCATAAGATATACATAGTCGGCGGGATTCAAATACACTGAGTAGATATATATATATATATATATACTGTATATATATAATGGTTTCTATTGGTGTAACATATATATACTGAGTTATCTAGATTTTTAAATGATTATTTGGTAGATGATTTATCACTACCAGTTCTTGATTAGTCTTATAAACATATGAAATAATTTTAAAGAGGTATGATTAGATGCAGTGGATTTGGGATGGGAGAGGTTAAGAAAGTTTAATCAGTGGAGGGATTTGAACTTTTTAATGATGGAGTTGGCCAAGCCAAAGTGATTAGTGGCGAAGTGTTGGCCTCTACTTTTAGTTTCCCTTTTGTGTTCATCTTTCTTCTTTTCTAAAAACCCACTAATTATTCATTAAAAATTTATTTGTCACTTGTTAGTCTTAAATATTTGAGTGCTTATTTTAAATTAAGCAATGGTACAGACAACTTTTTTTTTCCAAGACCACTGGCCATATCATATTACATAACTTAGATTTGAATTTGGCTCTCTATAGTATACGGCTATAAAAAAAAGATTACGGTGTTTAAAAAAATCATTGAATCGTCTGGTTTGAAAATACTAACTTTTCAAGATTTCGATAATAATCGGTTGTAGACTTTTGTTCCATTTTCTCTAAAGCGTGTAGGCAACACAAGCAACATCTTGTCCTCTTGTGTGTTAGTTGGACTATATTACTTAATCGAAGATCTCTTTCTTAGAAAACTATATGTAAGTAGCATCTAAGGAACATAGATCAATTCATTCATGATCAACCGGTGGTAAATTGGAAATTATAACTTTAACATATTTCATCTTTATTTTATTTCATCCAAATGATTTTCAGTGTGGTAGTTCTGATATTATTGCATCTAAAAACAACACATTTAGTTCTACGATATCTGAAGTGTCAGTATATTTCGCAAAGTTATCGTGGTTGAAAATCCATTGAGAAATATTTATCATTTTAATGTCTCAAACTATATATCGGAAGAAATTATTGAACAATTTACCTCACACATATTAGCAAAATATAAGCTATCTTCTAGGTTTTACTTAAAACGTATTGAGATTATCTATCATAAAGTTTGACAAAGAAATGGGGAAAAGGCTAAATAATTGTTAACAAAAATAATGAACAGCATTTTAAAATAAATAATTAATCTATACCATTGTTTTGGTCATTTTTTCTACATTATCCTCTATATGTCAAAATCAACATTTTGCTGGCTGGGGAGAAGTGGACCCAATAATTATCTTTACAAATTCGTTTAAAAGTCGCATTACGATCACACCCACTTAATTGATATGAGAATAAACTAAGGTAAATAAAAGCTCAGATCCAACAGGGTGAGTACAATTTTCAAATTCCTAACTTTCTAATGTGCACCTCCTTTTCTCTCTGATTGTATTTCACAGGTAACGTGTCATTAACCAGTTATTTATAACTTTAGTTAGTTTTGTTAATTGTTTCAGTACTAACATTTTCTATTCTTGGATGAGAACGTGGATATTAAGATCCAGAAATAAAAGATATACCATATGGAATACTTGTTTCTTTTTAAATCAGTGGATCACTTCAGGTTTATAAGGAACGATGTTACATGTCAAACACAAGCTTTTTCACAATTTATACATAAATAAAACCAATTTCATTCAACTAAACTATGTTTGAAACTTTTTGCAATGCATAGAAAAATATGTTTAGAACAAAGCTTCAAAAGCCTAATAGCTAATGACAGTTAGGGACATTGGGAGAATCTAATCATTACAAGTTTAAGCTATGCACGATGGAACAAAGGATAAGAAGTCTCTCAAAGAACATTCTGAACATGATTAGTACTAAACATAAAAAGAGACCCCACTTTTATTTTTCTTTAAATCCTGCCAATAAAATGCCGAAATGAATTAAATACATTCATTATTTAATAATCAAAATCTTAATCTACTTTGTAAAAGTTTTGCGATTTATGCGATTCTGTGGAGTACTACAATTAATACACATGTCAACCAAACTCGCAATTTGAATCAAATGTCTTTTTAGATTTAACTTGTAACAATCAAATTGCTCCATTTATCCATTTCCCAAAAGGACAACGTCTTTTTTTTATTCTCTAATTATTCTCTTCTAATTCGACCACACATATGCAATTTATACATTATAAATCATTTCATTAGTAATTGGGAAATTCAAGATTTTATAGCCATAATCTGTTATACACCTTGGAGACAAAGTAAGTGCTGTGAGAACTTGAACTCCATCATCTCCGATTACTTACCGCGCGTGGGCCAAGAAGACAATAATTTTCCATAATCTCTACTCCCTCCAAAAGTTGATGGCAGAAGACAATATGTTCAAAGTTACTATATTTTTGTGTATTTGTAATAGATAACCTCATGACTATTTATAATTTGCAAAATAGGAAAACGCACTATTACGTTCCTGTACACTTTTCAATATGGCATTATTACTTTTGATATTTTTCTCTCACAACTTTTTCTTCATACCATATTTCTGTCTTTCATCTTTCTCTCTCCTCACAAATCTTTAATTTTTTCACAATCCTTCACAAAAAACACTTTAGAAGATTATCTATGTCAAAAGAATGAACACCAAAGATATGGATGTGGATATGATGCAAAAATAGGTGGAAGTGCAAATTTGGGTGTGAATTTTCTGGGAATTTTGATCGATTTTGATATCGGCGACAATGGTTCATATATTGGGTTTTTCTGGAGATTGAAGATGAAAAGTTGATGATTCATCAAGATTTCATTTGTCGTGTGAAATATAAAGTTAGAGCTATATCTAAATGTTTAAATGGTATAATAACATATAAACATTTAGAGGTAACATGTAAGTTAAACAGAAAATTATTAAGTTACCATGTTAAAACAAACGTTAGAGGTACAACACATAAATTAGCGTATTACAATCAAATATAACTTGTAACAAAATCATCATATCTAGAAAAATGTTAATGTTCCGACGAAAAAGAACATAAAAGTTAACTGATATCAACTATGTTATCGTGATAAACTAAAAGTTAGCAGTTAACCTACATATTTACATAATACGATATTTTTTAACATGCTACAATAACATGTAACTTGTTACAACTAATTTTTTTTCGTTTTTAAATAAAAAAGAAAGGAAAGAGAGAGACGGAGAAAAGAGGGTTATATGGTAATTAACATTCCGACCAAACATTGTAGAGATAGATTTACGTCTTGTCATTCCTATTCAGCTAATTTTGACCAAGTTTTGGTATTTCTAGCAAATTAACTCTATATTTTTACTGAAAATAGTTTAGATAAAGAATATATTTAAATTTGTTAAAAGTTATCAATCTTTTTATCAGTTTTTAAATAAATTCTGTTAACTGATTAGTAAAGTAATTTGATAATTTCCACAATTTCAGACACTCTCGGATCTAGTGTATAATGTTTGTGCAAAATGAAAGAACTTTCACAAAACAAAATCTATTGGTAACTTATGTTTTAATAGGCAACTTTTCATTTTTCGACTATGGTAAATAACATTAAAAAAAAAAAAAAAAGCAGAACCGATGGGTATGTTTCAGGTTCATCAATTCGCATGAACAATCACTGTTCCAGTTTTATCTTTTGGGTTCTACTTTAAAGGTATCTGATTCGTTTCAAGACCACACCATTGATGCCATTGTTCAAAGTTTCCAAGAATGTTTTCTTGGGTCCACTTTCCTATCGCTTTCTCAGGAAAATCCACACAACCAAAAATGTACAATGCAAGGTGACTTAAACATTGATCTTAAAGCAGCCAAAATACTTTGGTTCAAGGTCGCTATCATCGACGCACTTGAGTTTTGCTTCAAGTTCGCTGTTAATCTATCAGTATCTATCTTCTTTCTTTGCTATCGTGTTTAAGTTTGATTGGTGTATTCAAAGAAGATGTATAATTCCCTCTCTTCGCTGTACTTTGGAAGGCTACCTAATTTTATAAGATGAAGATTTGAAAAAAAAGGATAACAAGCTCGGAATTTCACTTGATAGATCCAGTTTGTAGTATTGTTTTCAGTTTCAAAATCTATACAAATCTTCAAAAAACTAGAGAAAAACTCTCTAAATTAATAAATAACTATCAATAATTAACATCTCTATAAAATAATATTTTTTCACATATAGAGGTTTTACTGTATATAAAACCACAATAACGTTGACCAAAAAAAAAAACACAACAAAAAGAACTTAAGAGGTAACGAACCTAACCTAACTACTATATATGCCACGATCCAATGCCTTTAGAATATGGTATCAATGGTAAGCTTTCTTTTGGGCGGCGATTTTTCAATGATTTGTTTCTCGTGATCCATAAATGTAGAACCTTTGTTCGCAAATAATCTTCTGAGGTTTATCACCGAGAGCTCAAAAAAGTTTCCAACAGCAAGATCAGCCTGAACCAGATCATACCTGCAGATTTGTATTTTAATAAAGTTAGAGGCCAGAAATGCTCCTTGTTCCCAAAAAGGATAAAAAAAGAGTAAATTTTATACTTACGCTCGATGAGCACCGATTAATCCAACAGCCATCATAGTACAATTGTGAGCAGCAGTTATACCCCTAGGATCATCCTCGAACACAACACATTTCGAAGGTTTTCTATCCAACTGCGCAAAAAGTTTCAAACTTTTCAACAAACCTTTCCAAGAAAATTGGCAAATTGAATCGTTAATAAAGGTACCTTCACAGCTGCGGAAAGAAATCTATGAGCTATTGATTCCATACCATCTTCCTCGGAAACTACTGCCTGGAACCGGAGAATGAATACAAGCATCAGTAGATATAGCCCCATGTTTCTATAAAAAAAAAAAAAAAAAGTGAGATGATTCTCTAAAGCTATTACTGGCCTGGAAATACTTTTGAAGTCCCATCCTTTCAAGAGCATTGATCATGTTTCTTCGATCAAGATTTGAGACAACGGCACAGGGAATGCGAGCAGTTGTGACAGCGTCGAGCCAATCTCTAAGTCCTTCTTTTGGTTCCGTGAGCTGAAAATATCGAACAACTCAGGTGAACCACCCCCAAATAAACCAGAAGATTGATAAAGAAAGACCTTACTCTGAGAAGATTTTCGTAGTATATTTCTGATAGCCTGAGTTTCAATCTGTCGATTTTGCTTTGCGTAGTTTCCCAAAACAGCACCTGAAATATTTGGAATCAACCATCAAGTAAATCCGTTTCCTTATGATATAACAGAAACATGAAGCTCCTTATGGCTAACTCGGAAATATAAAAGAATATCAAGAGAGAAGGGCTTGAATTCACTAGTATATCCAAGAAAATGACAACTGAGAAAAGAAAGCTCAAACCTTACTCAGCACATGGTCAGCGCCGGCATAAAGCATCAGTCTTTGGATGTCATCTTCCTCTACAATTTCTTTTCCTGCCAATTCAATTCAATGAACTCGATTGTTAAATATAAGTACGATAAATTTAATGCCTCTGAAGTTTAATACATACCAGCAAAAGAGCCAACCCCAGATTGTCTCAATAAAACTATTCATATATCAAAACTCTACGTACACTAGACAACTATATACTACAATGACCATCCAAAGCAATTTCTATATAGACAAAGCCTTTAACTCGTTCAAATGCAGATTTTAGCGTTTGTATATCTGTGAATTGTTGTCTCAGAAAACAATTCCAACTTTTTAAGACAGAATAGTTTCAATTTTTATCATATATTTTTGCAAAGTATAAAAGCATAATGACGATTTACAAAGGAGTTTTGACGAAGACCTAAAGGTTGTGGGTTTATTTAAAGGAACACACACACTAATATAGAACATTTAACGTCAAGAGAGAACGCACTGATATCACTCGACATTCCTCAGAAAGGGTACATGGGCAGTACTAAGTAGATACTGCACGATATCTCTTTCCGCTCACACGTATGCAAAAAGAAAACAGATTTTGGTAAAAAGCAGGAGAGAATAAAAGCTTACCTTCTTCGGTAGATAGCTGCTTCCAAGCATCCAACTTCAAACTTCGAGTATCAGCCTACAAAGTTTGAAAAATGAGAAATTTCGACTCCTGAATCCAAAATTAGTAAGCATGGATATTGCAACCTTCTAAGTTACCAGCTAACATAACAGCATCGTCTAAAGAAGCAATAAACCGATACTTCAAAACTGGAATGCGTGGACAACGCAATTCTATTCTACAATTTTTTAAAATTTACCAAATAATAGGGGCAGCATCATGATCGAAACAAACTAAAGACCGATATGTTTAAGGCAAATCCTCATAGGCCACCAGACGAGGAAGTGATCATAGGTAATCTAATTTTTAGCTACAAGAGCTTTCGGTATTGCAAACATAAAGGTGGTGTCAAAGAATTACCACGACATTGTCCCATGAGAAAATAAGTCCATAGGCTTCATCTGGTTTCATTGCGTAACGTATTCTTTGAAGAAAACCATCTTGCAGTTTCTCATTCCAGAAATCCTACTTACAAGCAAAAAAAGGAAATTATATGTTACCTACATAACAAGCTTTCCAGAAGCAGCTCCGAAACGAATTACTCGGCTTCCGATGAAGCGAATGGACTCCAAAATATTAGAAGAAAAAAGTAAAAGATTCAGAAACATCGATAGCTCTTACCACATCCACTTTAAGAGGACCATCCTGTCTAAAAGTTTCAAACCCTTCTCCATACTCAGCTCCAATCGCCTATAATTCAACAAATCATCAAATAAATTTCAGCAACTTTCCTCCTCAAAGCCCAGGAAACACAAGAGACGTCTCTGAGCTATCGGATAAAAATTACCTCTTGCATAAAGAGTTTGTTTGGCTTGAGAGGAAACCCACTAACATCGCCGTTTTCCGAAGACCCAGAAGAAGAACTCCTCACTACCAGACGCTGCTTCACCAACTTCGTATCTTTCGGTATCTGAAAAAGAAAAGAAAAAAGCTTACAACTTTAGAATTGCCACTATCGATTTCGGATCAAAGCTAAAGCTATTGTAATAAGATGCTTCTACAAACCAGTAAGCTGAGATTCGATGCGGGATTAGAGCGAGGGAAGCGAAAAGACGGTTTAGAAGAGATGAGCAGAGACGAAGGGCGAGTACTGCACGAGCAGTCCATGATCATTAATTAGGGCTTCTTCGAAATCAGAAACTGGGTAGAAGATGAAAAAGCATTCGTTTTTTGATCAGGTAGAGAGAGGATTGTTGCATATAAATCAGGGTTTGCACACGGAACTATCTAAAGGCCTTTGTTTTCTGGTTCATACGTTTAGAGCCAGACAACGTCTCGTCTGGTGGGTAAATACAGAGAGCCAGAGATTGAGAAAATTAAACGCTTTTATCCAATGGATCACACTATGGATGCCGTTTTGTATGACGTCTAACGCAACGAAGTCTGCATCTGAAAAACACAAACGCTTAGATTTTTTTTCACGGCTATAGAGTGTTTGTGTTAATGGGCCAATCAAATCAACTAAATTAGGATGTTAATGGGCTAATCAACCAACTATGTAAGTTTTGTGCTCTTGTGACCTAACCCAACTGATTTTAAGTTATCCTTTGAAAAACTTAATTTTGGGTTTAATGATTTATGACTTGGTTGTTTGTTTATTACAGTTCTTAATTTTGTATTTATCTTTAGGTTTATGTGTGGACAAAAAAATAAAGCTGACTTTTCTGGTTTGTAACTGTAGTTATGATTCATCTAAAATTTTGAATTAGTGTTATGTGTTATGTTTTTTAGGTTTAGTGTTATGTTTGTTACATGACTTTTCTGGTTTGTAACTGTAGTTATGATTCATCTAAAATTTTGATCAATATGATCTGTTACATTGCTTTGTTTGGGACATCAACATTGGTAAATTCCAAGCTAAAATGTCTAACATTACTACCATCTGAAGCTTGTAGAGTTTTTTTTTTTTTTTGCAAATCCAAGGAACTAATCGAGATTGTGAAAAGTTACATATTCACTTTGATGGAATTGTCTCACTGGACATGTTCTCATCTCGTGGGAAGAAAATATCAATATGTTAAAAGAACAGAACTGAGAAGTAATATAGTAGAATCACTCACCCTTGTACTAAAAGAGGCGAATTGAAAGAGCTGTCATGCAGAGAACGATGACTGAATCAGATCAATAAGAAACATTTATTTTTTGTTAAAAAATTATGATACAGAGATAAGTACACTAAATATAGAAAAAAAAAAATCATATAAAATCCCATTTAAATATTTTTGTCAGATTATGAACCATATACAAAATGATGACTTACCACCAAAACATGATTACTCTAACAATATAAAACTGCACCCACAAGGGTGATAATATATCAAACTCAACACTATTTTACTATTGGGTCTCTCTTATATCTTGTTTTTTTCCGATAACGATCTCTCTGTCTCTCTCTTCTCTGTTCATAATAAAAATTCCGAGGAAAATGAAGCAAGTCTCTAACATTTTCATTTTCTTTTGCCTCGTATCTCTCATATCCCGTAAGTAGTGTATTTATCTTTTACATGATAAGTGATAACCTAGTTAAGATTGTACCGATTTTTATAAACTAGAAAGTTAATCAGCATAACTCTTTTCAAAATTCTATTAATTAGTAACAATTATTAGCAACTTACTCTAGTTTTTAACGTTATATATATATAAGATATAACAATCTCAAGTATTAGCGTGGTGGAGGGTGGAAATACGTTGCAAGACGAGGAGGCCATCTCGCATGTGATAGACCAAAAGGCTTCTGTACATGATGTTGAGCATCCACAAAAAGCTCCATGCGCTGATTGCACTTGGCCATGTGATCCTGTTGTAGTTGGAGAAGGCTGTATTTGCCGTTGTTAATTTTTTTTCTATTCTATTCAAAATATTCGTCCATAGTGTATTCGGACCTTCGATAAAACCATTGATAAATATTACAAACTCGTAAATCGACATGATAAGAATATCCGAGATCTGAGTTCCTTTCTCGTAACAACATAAGGATCCAACTATTTGTTGTATACGCAACGCATAAACGACGACATAAGTTTTGTTTATAATTAACACAATAGGCCATGACAAACATCATATATATATATATATATATATATATATATATATATATCACTGCCTCTACCACCATCAAATATTCAAAATAATTGCATAATTAATTTGTAAGAAAAGATTGTTGTGTTCCAAATTAAAGATTGAATCCAAAACGTGATAAAAAATTACATTTAGTTAATCAATGGCTTCGTTTCTCACTTATAATATAAAACATTACTACGTGAGAATCTCGGCGTAATCGAGATCGTTACTCCATCAGTTAAGAGTCTTGGAAGGTGAGAACTGACAAGTAAATTATCAAAAACGTAAAACTACAATGTGAAAAAAGAACAGAAAACTACCTACGTTTTCTTTTCTTGATTGCATTAGATTGAAACTGATACGAAATATTCATCTTGGATTAGATCTGATATTATACTCCCTCCGTTTCATACATAATAAGTGTCGTTTTATATTTCAATTTTTTGTTTCAAAAAGAGTGTTGTTTTGTATTTTCAATGTAACTTTTTATTTTTATTTCTTGTTTTACCCTTCATTTAAAGATAATAGTCTTTATAATTAAATATTATAAAAGTATATTAATTAGGGATATATTTGTATATTTTATTAATTTCTTAATCTGTGTGAAATATGTCAGAGACACTTCTATTATATAAAGACTCAGTTGAGTCTCACAAGCTTGACACATCAGCACTCATTTTTATGACACATCAGCTCACTTATTTATTATTAAAAAAACTAAATTAAAACTAATTATTTTTATAGTCATTTTCCCTAGAATTTAATTATTTATTATGATGGCTTTTTGACTTCAGCTTTTGATGTCTCATATTCTTAATGACGCTTCAAACATTATTAATATAAAGATTTTTTTTTCTAAATGTTTCAACGCATATATGTAGAAGAAAAAAAGAAGAAAAGAAGTAAAGATAATCTCTACTCTACAGCTTTAAATTGAAATTCATGCAGGTTTCTATGTAGAAGCCTACAACAATAAACGTTGTCCACAAATCCACAGTTTTAGATCTACTTCTTGGTTAGGGTCAGAGACATTGATGGTAACACTCAATTGTGTTCGTTTAAAGGAGAAGAAGAATTTTGTTTGAGAATTCTATAAATAGTAAATAGCAAGACGATATCGAAGGTTGCTATGATCAAGAACTTTCTTTTTTTTTACTTTACTGTTTGAATGTTAATTTGCTACATACATTTTTCAAGTATGGTGACTATAAACTTATGAAAGATGATTAGCTACTATGAAAATTACTGATAAATTTTTTTTACCTTGCTTATTTGGGTTCTTAAAAGAGAAATTTGCAACTAATTTAATTTTTATTACTAAACATTTTTTGACTTTATGATAAGTAAAAAAGAAAAAATTCTTACTATGAATTTTCATATTCGGTTATTAGGGAATCTATAGGGGTTCGCTTAATGGAGGAAAGATGATCAATTATATTGGCAAATGGTTAGCGTTATATTTTCAAGTTGATGATGCAGTGATCTTCCTAACATGGTTTAAATAAAACACTAGAACAAATCATTGAATGTGATACATGCATGGAAATCAAAGTAAACAAGCGTTGGAAACAAGCAAGGAAAAAAATGAAACATTTGTTTAGGTAAGTTAACGATAATTAACACGCACTGAATTTAGTAAACTTGAGTAAGCTTTACAAAAAAGTAAAAATTCGCTAATGGTTTGTTCTTTTAAGTTGAATTTAATTCACATAACAGAAAAAGAAGAAGTCTCTACCATAAGATGGGTGGTATAATGATCATGTAAACTACTCTGATTTGAAGAACTATTTGATGCCGCAAATTTCTTTGTGTTTGAATAATCATGAGAATTATCTTACTACTTTTGATACCAGTAAAAACAATTATGGATTACATATCTAGATTTGATGGATTCTCATATCTAGATTTGTTTTCTTAAAAAAAAAACTGATGTAGTCTTAAAAGAAGAAATTAACAGTTTTTAGTAGAAGAAAGTTTAATAAGCTTTTTGAAGATAAAATAAAAAACCAATATAAAAACCAACCAAAATAAAAATACTTTAAAAAAATATGTAAAAAACTAAAAAAAACCAATAAATTTATTAAAAAAAAAAGAGCCAGTAAAAAAGTTAACCAAACCCAGAACATCTTAAGAAAATAAGTAAAACAACCAAAAATCTAAATTTAATTAAGTTTTAAGCATTAAATAAATAATAATTAAAAAAGCAACCCACGCATTTGCGTGAGTAATTTTCTAGTATTATAAAACAGAAGAAGTATTAACTGAGAAATATTTTAACGTGTTTTTTTTTTCTTTGGTTTATACAATAAACTCAAAAACGTTTCTAGCTCTTATTTATTGATTATTCATTAAAAGAAAAAAAAGTAATAGGAACGTCCAGACTGGCGGGCTGATCAATGCTAAGTTAACTGCTACCAAGAGAAAAGAATCTGAGGCTTCTTCTTCCTCAACGACCAGTCAGTCTTGTTCATCAATTTCACACCATAAGCCTTTACCTTTTGATCCCGCGCTTATTGCTTCTTCTTCAAAGTTTCCATTTTGAAAATTCGTCGTCTGAGTAACCTTCTCTTTCTTTTTTCTTCAAAGTTTCCATTTTTGCTTTCCCTGTAAATTGCATCTGATTCGAATTTTGGGCATTTATTAATTCGATCCAGCGAGTTTCCCAATTAGGGTTTGATTCCCTTTCCTTTTCATCTTTTCTAGTCAAATCTGAAGACTTGGTTGGTTTTAATGTGCTGAGAGAAGCTTCGTCGGCAAGTAGAATCTCGTCTCCTTTGAGTCAATTTTAAAAATATATTTCTTCTTCTTTCTGGGTTTTATATTCTTTGCCAACAATGTTTAAGCTTGCATAGCATATATGCTTCTGAGTAGCTTTTTGCACGATATTTGAAGAGATAAAAAGAAATGGGATCGAACTGCGATGGGAATTTGAAAGGTGAGATTGAAGAATCTAATGGTTCTGGGAAAAGTAAGGCTCTTTGCCCTCTCGATGTTTCAACATCTCGAAGAACTCTGATCGGTGTTGGTAAACCAAAGAGCTGGTCGATTACTGCTTTGCCTGATGCATCTAGTAGAACCAAGCTTCTGAAATTCGGTTCCCCTTCAGCTAAATTCATGAAAATGGCGGAGGAAAGAGACGAGGTTTCAAGGTCAGTGACGAGCTCATCAAGCAGCCATAACTTCCGGGAAAGAATCAGTGGTGTGCTTCACCGGAAAATTGACTGGACTTCTCTGATGAATATGGGGAAAGAATGGATTAAGAACCCAATCAACATGGCTCTCTTCGTGTGGATACTCGTTGTTGCAGTCTCTGGTGCGATTCTCTTCATGGTGATGACTGGTATGTTGAATCATGCTTTGCCTAAGAAGTCACAGAGAGACGCTTGGTTTGAAGTTAACAACCAAATCCTTAATGGGTTGTTTACTTTGATGTGTCTTTATCAGCATCCGAAACGGTTTTATCACTTGGTTCTTCTTTGTAGATGGAAGCATGACGATATTACCAAGCTTAGGAAAGTGTATTGCAAGAACGGGACTTATAAGCCGCATGAGTGGATGCACATTATGGTTGTTGTCATTTTGCTTCACTTGAATTGTTTTGCTCAATACGCGCTTTGTGGTCTTAATGTTGGATTCAGAAGATCAGAGAGGCCTCCCATTGGAGTAGCCATATGCATCTCCGCTGCGATTGGAGCTCCTGCAGCTGCGGGTTTGTACACTATGCTTAGTCCACTAGGGAAAGATTATGATGATGATTCGAGTGTAGATGAGGAGAATCAACTGCAGCGTGAAGAAGGGTCTGTGAGTCGCAGGGTTACTTTAGAGAGGAGGTATTCGTTTGCTTCTACTTCTGCTTCTGCTGGTGATGGGATGGTTCCGGTGAGTGATCCTCAGTGGAGTGGTGGAATTATGGATATTTGGCATGATATTTCATTAGCTTACCTCTCACTTTTCTGCACTTTCTGTGTGTTTGGATGGAACATGGAGAGAGTTGGGTTTGGGAACATGTATGTGCACATAGCGACGTTTATCCTCTTCTGTTTGGCACCTTTCTTTATATTCAACTTAGCTGCGGTTAATATAGATAACGAGACGGTCAGGGAGGCGCTTGGGATATCTGGAATCCTTCTTTGTTTGTTTGGTTTACTCTACGGTGGATTCTGGAGAATCCAGATGAGGAAAAGATACAAGTTGCCGAGCTACAAGTTCTGTTTCGGAAGAGCAGCGGTTGCTGATTGTACGCTTTGGTTGTTCTGTTGCTGGTGCTCTTTAGCTCAAGAAGTTAGGACTGCAAACTCTTATGAGATAGTGGAAGACAAATTCTGCCAAAGAAGTGCAGAGGAGAAGAGTTTGGTGTCTCCTTTGCCTCGTGAAGAAGGTGTGTTTGATCCTAGGTTTGGTCTTGGGAGCTCACCGAAAAACATGAGCGGGGCTAACTCTCCAAGCCCAAGCAGGTTTTGGGAAGAGGTGCATAGTCCAGATGTACAAACGCCTAGAGAGAAAGATGAAGGTAAAAGCGAGGTTGTTCTGACTCCACCCTCTCCTCTGTCTATACACAGAGAAACTTAACAGTTTGATTATCCTTACTACGCTTGGGTAATTCTCCTTTCTTTGTCTTCAGTTGTTGTATAAATTTGATTTGTGTGAAACGTTTGAATGGAAGTCTCTTTGTTTGTTTGGGTTTACTCAGTATGATGAAGCGGGTTTTGTCATGTTAGAGTTTTGTAACATTTCCCGGTTTCTCGTTTTTTTTTTTTTTTCATTTTCTATAACGTAAATTTGTCTGTCTTGTTTCAATAGGAATTTTGTGCGATTTAAAGTCTGTCTTTGCTTGCAGGCTTTGCTTGTCTGGTAAAAATGCTGGTTGACTCATGAGGTATATATTCTCAGATAAATCGTGGGAGATTATGAGACAGTCATGTCTCATTGCTTATGAACTTAGTGCGATTTTCTTTTCTTCGGATAAACCCAAGATTTTGTCCAGTTTGGTATAAGGCTTTGATGTTTGGACATTTGGGTTATTCGATCTAGCAAATAGGAATGGACATATGAACCGACACCTAACTAAACTGAAAAAACCAAAATTCTGTAAACAGCTTTTTTTTTTTTTTGTAACAAAGAATGTACCAAATAGATTTAACTATAAAAAATACTGTACCTATCCTCTGTATCGACTATCAATAAACTGAACCAAACCTAGCCGAATCGGATCACACCGGTTCTTTTGCTAGTCCTATGTGCTATCAGTAACTAAAAAATAATCGAATCCAACCGAAAAAACGGATGTTCACTCCTAATAACGATTTGGTTTTCGAACAATTGTATTTATATTTGAAAAATCTTATAGAGATTTATAGACTTTCTTCGTTTTTATTCTTTCTTTTCTCTCGAGACAGTAGTTTAGGTTTGCGGGATATTCTAGTTCAAAACTTGGTTTCGTGTTCTGGTATAGTTCGTGTTTATTCCTAGGCTCAGTGGATTACATAAGGGAATTCACATGGCTATAAAATACTTTTTGAGGCCGGTAAATCGGTAATGGTATTTCACTATCTAGGCATCTAGCCATAAGCTTTAACAAACAATATAAAACTATATGTAATGTCACAAATTGTCATTTTAGACCAAGTTCACTATCAATATGCAATATAGGAATTAGGCGTCGATGTCACAAGAGTTATTTTCGTGGATAATCGCTTCACAAATCCACTAACGTATATTATTTTATTTGTTTTTGTAAACAACTTTTTATAGTCTTTTTTGGCTATAAACTTTTTTTAGTTTCTTGTGTAATCAACTTGTTGTCTAATTTTAAGTTTTATATTTTTTTTTTATCAAAGCTTGTCTTTATGTTCCTAGTTCGACCAAAAGTAAATAAAATAAATAATACATATATATATATATATATAAACATAGTTAATTATATATCGATGTAGAGTTTTCCGTATTTGATTTGAGGCCACTATCGATTTTTTTTTTTTTAATCAAAGGCCATTATCAATGTTTGAACACCATTTTAACATTTTCTGTGTATAAAAAAAACATGAATACCACATACACTGATGAAAGGGTAAAAACTTTTGAAAACTATTTAATTATTAATTTATCCAAATATTAGTCTAACTAGTCGTTGTTATAATATTTTGTTTTCTAACCACTGTTACACAAATATTGATGTCTATATCTGGTCGATATAAAAATACTAATGCATCTTAGCTTGACGATATCTAATGTCTAGTAACCAGTATAACCTTGTAATCTATATATAACTTGAAAAATCTAATGCTATAAGGGAATCGAACGTGTCATGGTCACATGATTAGATGAACATAGGTGGCCACTCTACTGTACGTGGACTCTCGGCATGACACGTGTCAAGGTGATCGTGCATTATACTGCCTTTGAAACTTCTGTGATTGGTTGGTGGGACCAATACACTCATTAAACACGTTTCTTTGCATATTTCTTAATTACTCTTACCACTAGTATTAATCTTGTTTGTTAATGAATAATAATTGCGGAAACTCCTCCAGAAACATACATACGTATACAAAAATATCATTAGGAACCAAATGATTCTTTTACTCAAATCTAAAGTTGGGTTAAATAGATTCCAAAACAGGACAAGAAAAGGAAGGAAATACGATTCCTTTTAAAATCGAACAAAGTCAGATATTTTATTACCACTAGCAAATTCAATTAACCTCATTAAATAATTCACCTAAACAGACGGTGGGGTCAAACATTAGCTGGCTCGACTTTTAAGGTGCTTTATCTCCGGGTCCTACAAACCAGATTCATTCAATAACAAAACGACACGTGTCGACAAAGAGCTAAAAATCCGAAAACCTGAAAAATAGGATGGGATGCACAGAATCAAATCCCAAGCCCAGAGCCTGCGGCTCTATATAAATCCCGGATATATCCCACCAATTTTTGAATAACTTTCTTCTTCTCCCAAATCAAAATCCTAATAATCCCACCTTTTTTGTTTCTTCTCTCGATTCCGGAAACTCGCCAAGAACTGGATACTCTGGCGGATTCAGAGACTAAGAACCGAGACGTGGTTCTGAAACTGTATGACGCCCTGAGATCTAGAGACGTCGAATCTGTTCACCGGATCCTAACCCCAGATCTGGAGTATTGGTTTCACGGCCCTCCGCCGCACCAGTTTTTGATGCGCATCCTCACCGGAGTCTCTCCGCCGTTCGAATTCGTTCCGCTCTCCGTCGTCTCCTTCGGATCGACCGTCATCGCCGAGGGCTGCGACGCCGCTAGCTCCATCTCCTGGATCCACGCCTGGACCGTAGCGCATGGGATAATCACTCAGGTGAGGGAGTACTCGAACACTTCTCTCACCGTCACCCGTATCGGTAACGTTGTCGCCGGACGCTCTGCTGAGATTGCGCCGTCGCATTGTCCCTCCGTGTGGGAAAGCCAACTCTCGGGTCGGGCTGGAAAATCCGTCCCGGGTCTGGTTCTGGCGATTTAGAAAGAGCCACGTCAGGGAATAACTAAATAAAGGCTGCTTACGTGTCAGTGTCTGGTTGGTTTGCTGTTTATGGGTTGAAGGATTTTCGTGCGGTTGAGACGCGGTGTGTGGCTGACGGCTAAGGCCGCGTTTTTGGCTGTCGCTAAAGTTCTTCTTTTGTTGGATTTTTTTTTTTTTTAATTTGCTTAAAAAATCGTGCTTTTGTGTTTCAGTGGGTACAAGCATGGGGAAACCCAAGTTGACTTGTCCCGTTGCGTCTGATGTAACGTTTGGTTATGTTATAATTGAAATAAAAAAGTGCTTTAGGGATCTTATTATATTCGTTAAAACGTTTTTATAGTACGAGATGTTCTGCATTGATCGATGTCAAAAACAAAAGCTCTGTTTGTTGACAAAATTAATAGAAAAAATAAAAAAATCTGCCTATTTGGCTCATATCTGTGAATGGATTAGCTGTGATTTGTTAAATGTGACTAACGAATTGAGTTTATCAAAGATACACATACAAAATGCTATAAACAAAACTTCACGAAGATATTAAAACTATTCCTTTGTAATGTATCACTCATTGTTCTGTTTTGTTTTAGTTGGAGTTGGATAAAGAATATAGATCAGTAACAAATTGTATTCGTTTGGTTATGTTATACTTGAAACAGAAATGTGTTTTTGGGATCCTATTATAGTACGAGAAGTTCTGAAAATGTTGACAGAAACAAAAAAAGCTGTTTATTTAGCTCACACATGTGAGAGAATTACCTGTGATTTGTGTATGTATAGCTCTAGACAAATTGCGTTTGTGTACCTCGATTCTAAATATAATCAATGTACATAGCTCAGTTTATCTAAGGAGTTTGATGCATCGCAATAAGTATGAACAGAGTTTTATGATCTGGATTAGAAAAACATATAAAAAAATTACACGAAATTTTCAAGGATTTAACAACATAGTTTGTTTGTTTTTTTTTAATGAAAAACCTAAAAATAAAGGTTACTAAATGTAATCGTGGACGCAAACAAAAAAAAAAAGTTTAATTGTGAAAGAGAGAGATTCGGAATGGGAAGCAACGAGGAAGGTCACTCATGCGTCTTTTTGTGAATGTGGAGACGCATTTATCAATCTTTTGGCGTCATTTGGTCAAAATGGTGTGACGATAAAACGACATTAACAGAACTAATAAAAAACTCTAATAAACTGGTGGACAAAACCAAGATAAGTATATACATGGGCGTCTTTTATATTTCATATTCAATAAAATCGTTGTGCAGCGACACCAATATTGACATCCATTGAATTGGATTTCGATAATGTCTCCTGCCCCCAAAAATAGTCATAAAATATATAAATGATTATATTTTATATTTTCCGGAAAACATAGAGATTATAATGTAAATTTAGTTACATTAGAGCAGCTCCATTAATGTAACTCAGTTTGAATCTCTTTAGATTTTTTTAACAATTTTATTGAGGAGTGATGTGTGGGATCATTAAAATTCACTCCCATTAAAATAAAAAACTCGCTCTCTTTAAATTGAATGATCAATTGCCTTCCTTCACATCGCCACGAGATCGTCTCGTGCACCCTTTAGCCAAGGATCGATCTGTTCTTTTTTTGAATTTTCAATTTATTTTTAATCAATTTTGTCTAGGATACTGAACTAAAAAATAGGCAAGAGACACTGATGGAACTGGTCTTATCTTCCAAAACTCAGTTTGATTTATATAAATGAGTTACTACAATATATTGAAACACAACTGGTTATCATCGGTATATTGTGAAGGTGTACAGATCTCATACAAGTGGTAAAAACGTAGACAACCCACAAGTACAGAAAAGAAAAAAAGGAAAATAATATCAGTAATATACAAACTGATATTGATGTAAATATTACAACCCATTCTTCTAATCATATATGTTCATTAAAATGTATATAAGAAACCCACTCATGAGTCATGAGATCAGTTGAAATCTTTTCTAACGTAGATTGGACGTATCATCTGCGATTACAAGTAACGCGATGACAAATGCGAAATCGACATATGGATTAACTCTCACTTTGAAGCTGTAATTCCCTATTATAAGTCCTCCCCATGAGAAATCATGAACCACCAGTAAAAATGCAAGTCCTCATTTATTCATATTTAAGAAAAAAATAGAAACTACAGCTATATATGGGTGCAAGCGGTGATTAGCTAGAGGAATAAGCTGAATAAATCTAAAACGTGACATATTAATCTACTAATTATCAAATAAACTCTTTTAGTTTGATCTACCAATTGTTAAGATTATGGTGACCGTACCTCAGCAAGAAGAGTATTATGAATTGGTTCAAAGAGCTTGAAAGAAGAACCAATGTAACGACCAGATGTTCGAAAGTCTGGCTCGATACTAGTAATGTCCGTCGAAGGTTGTTGTGGCGGTAAATAGATATTAAGTGATGTTTTGAAGGAGAATAGATTTTGTTCCCTTGCTGAGAAAAGAAGATCCTCAGATTCTGTGCTTTCTCCTTTGTACACTTCCCATTTGTATCTCATTGTCACAAGTCCCTGAAACATTATACGTTTCTTCATTTAAAAACAAACTAGTCTTTTCAATTGGTGATTTCTTGTAATGTACTAAATTGGTCGTGATGTGAGAATCGACTTTTACTGAGGAGAAAGCATAAATTAGTTATGTTGTTAGACACTTACAATAAACATATATACATAGATACCAGATTACTACTGTGTTTAGGATCAGATCAAATTTCAATTGTTTTTCATACGATCATATAAAATCTAATTATTTTTCTAATTACCGATATAGTTAATCCTTTCATCGATTTATTGGATGTGTTTTGTTCAAATACGAAGGTGTTTGATTAGTTGTAAATAATGCGCAACTACATTACGTTTAAAATAAATAAGAACTTATAATTCAAATTAAAAGGAGAAAAGTTGGCAAGAAAATTTGGTTTTAGAGGCCATTTAATAAACTTCTCTTCAGCCGGTCTAATGACATCTACCTATATTCTAAAAACTGAATTTAGGCATTAGTAAAGTGGGTTCTAGATGGAAAAGTAGATTATCCAGCCAACCTCACTAAAAATGATATTTTGTATTTACTTCAAGATCACGACGTGTCTAATAAGCATATTTTAAGTCGCTTCATGAAAATCGAACCAAATCTCATATATATAACATGTGATGTTTCCTCAACGATATAGTTATATGATTTCAGTAGATATAAGATATAGAAGTGTGTGTGTGTGTGTGACCTTTGTGCGCATAGAGAGAAGAGGAATCCCGGTGGCGTCACGGAGGACACGTTTACGGCGGATATTCCATGTGCCACCGTCGATGGTGAAGATGAGATTGTCGGAGAGATCGTAAACATCGTAACGATCCCTTTTCAGGCTCTCACGCCGCCTTCTCACCATTAGCTCCGTGATGTACGGATTACAAAACATTTCTTCCACAACACTGACCATTTTTTCCTTCCAAAGATTCTTTTGAACAAGTATGATACAAGAAAACTTAGATGGTTTCCCTATATCAAAGGATCGCATTCTCTTTGATTTTTCCACAACTACTTTTCATTATTAATTAAGACAAAGAAAAGATAAGTAGAGTTTAAAGTCGATTTGACGCGGTTTTTAGATTGCTTGAGGAAGGGAAAAACTAATTATTCATAATTTCATATACTCTTATTCAAGTGTTTTATAATGTGACACGAAGAGGGAGAAAAATTGTTTTAAATTCGTAATTTTATTAGGCTTCTTGATCATGTCCAAATCCAACTGTTCCGTAGTCATTGACTAAAATGAAAGAGTTAGTCTTCACAAAATTAACTTCATCGGTAAATTAGTTGCATGCATTGTTAATGAACATATATGATTGACTGGTTTTGGTTAGTCTGTTCTTTGCTAATCCCCGTCGAGTATTCATTCTCTCTTTGCCTTTTTCTTAAAGGATTGTTATCCAAATTTTTCTTTCCGATTGGACAAAGAAAAAGACAAACAAACACAGATAAATGTTTCATCCGATTTGAAATGCAGCTGTGATTTTAGAGAACCGAGTGAAAATGGAAAATGTGTTGCATTTCACTGTCAGCAAACTTTTTAAATTTAGAGCTATACACTTTTTTTTATAATTTGGAAATGTTTCTATAATTTCATGCCTTATTTAAGGTATATATTCTTTGAATACTTACTTTGAAAAACTAAAAAGTTGCAATATTTACAATCCAAAATAAAATTTACTCATCGTAATCTCACACATTTCACATTAACTTCGAGATTTTATGTTCTGTTGTATCATTTATACAAAATTTGGATAGAACCCAAAAGAAAGTTCTCAGAAAAAAATTATATTTTGTTTGGGAAGGATCATAAAGCTATACTTTATTTACGCAGAGCTTTGACGTGATGGCCGTGCAACTGCAACGTCTTCCTGCATTCCCCAGTGATATTACCAAAACACCCTTTTACACTTTCCATTCTAGTATCAGAGCCCGAAACCCCAAAAGGTTATAATCGTCACATAAATATTTCTTTTTCGCGCTTCATCCATTTTTCTCGTCTCGGCAAAAATTGCAGCGATTCTGCGCTTTTTTTATTTTAATCAGTCTAAGCACACTCAGACCTTTAACTCTCTCATCGTACTAAAGCTTTTATCACCGAAAATCGAAGAGCCCTAAATTTTTCGTTTGACATTCGATTTCTCTGTAAATCTTCCCTCATCCCATGCATTTCTCCACTGAAATTTGCAGGAATTTGTCTCTCTAAAAGTTTCCGGACGCTGTTTTATCTTCTCTCTCTTTCGGTCGTTCAGGTAAGGAAATTTTTTCGTAATCCATCAGTTTTTTTATGAAATTTCTTCCTGTGTATACGAGAAATTGCTCTCACGTTGCTCTGTTTCCTGTTTATATGAGATTTCTGTTTCTCGTCTTTTAAAAAGCCTTTGCGTTTGTTTGTTGCTTAGCGGTTTCTGTGAATAACTAATAGCTAAAAATCTCTCCTACTTAGGGTTCTACTACTTAGTAGAGAGAACAGATTTCATGATAGTTTCTTCGCCAATCACGAAATTATTAGATTTTGTGCTGTTCGCATTGTCTCAAAACGTGCAAATTGCTCGGGTTTAGGGTTTCTGGAAGCGATTACTTTAGAGATTAGGTGCAAATTTCTTGATGACTTTTTGGAGACAATTTTGTGTTAAACGATTCACTCAACTCAGTATCAATTTTGCTTTTCTTAATCCTTCTTTTGACAAATACCTTGATTCTTTCTGTTTCTGGTGAGAAGCAATGGGTGCAGGGAGGAAGACAGAGACCTATACACTGGCTCCCGATGGCTATAACTCATATGGAACTATGTGTGTGAGGAATCTTAAGAAGGGAGATCTTTGTGGGGTTATATTTGGTTGCAAGTTCAGCACTATCAAAGAATGCCACGCTAAGAAATTGTTTGGTTAGTTGGTTATGCAACCTATACAATCTTTGAGGCTAAATCTTTAGCGACGGCCAGGTTTTGAAAATTGATATACTTGTTGTTCGTGACCAGGTTTACCAGCCCCTCACATGGCATATATCAAGAACATCGATCCCGGTTTGACACTATTCCTGTTCAACTACAGTGATAGAACACTTCACGGCATCTATGAAGCTGCAAGTGAAGGACAACTGAACATTGATCCCAAAGCTTGGTCTCCAAATGGGACAGATCCAACTCCATATCCTGCTCAGGTATCTTTACTTGGTACAGAACACTTCCATTTGTTGCTTCACTTCCTCCAAACCAACATGTATCTTGTTCTGTGAATATTCTTCTCCAGGTAAAGGTACGAGTCCGAGTGCGTTGTGAGCCCTTGGCTGAAGAAAAGTTTAGTCCAGTGATTGCTGATAATTACCAGGATGACAAGGTGTTTTGGTTTGAGCTAGACCGAGGTCAGACCAACAAGCTGCTCCGATTGTTTTCACCATCACCATATGTAAGGGCACCATCAACATCCAAATATGCTGCTGCACCATCCAAAAAGGCTATTCCAGCATCTTGTCTTGTAGAGATAGGTGACTTAGGAGCACCGCGTGTTGATAAGTGGAGCAGTCTTTTCAAATCTTCAGATGATTCGAGTGAAAACAAAGGAAAAGAAGTTGCAGTCAGTCACGGAGAAGGTTCAAGAGTAGTCACTAGAGGATGGGAAGTAGCTGCCAGTAATGCGGATGAGCAAAAAGCTAAAATATCGGCGTCACAATCTGGTCCATCTTACTCATCAGTACTGAGAAAGATGAATGAATCTTCAAACATGGAAAAGAAAACTTTCCAGACAAATGAAGTTCCATCTCAAGCAAGTAAAGGAGTTGAAGATCCTTGGTCATCTGCTTCTCGAGTACATTCTGTACGCCAAGACAACGGAGGATTCAGAAATGCTTGCAGGGAAGGGGAATATGTCAAAATGAATGCTTCTCATCAGCAAAATCTCCATCCAGCACAAAAGGGAACTTCTACGATAGCTAACAATGTAATAGGACCAAGCAAGGAAGATTCTGCTGAGGAAGCATATTCAGAGATCGATTGGGATGCTGCATCATCCTTCAAAGTCCATCTGGATGGACTGAACAGAATATTGGAGGATCCTAGGGATAAGGATTGTTTCAAGAGATTTGAAGGAAACATGGGATTTGCCTCTTCTTCTAAGGTGCCCAATCATTGGGAAGATGAGAAGGCTCCCTGGGAAGTTGAAGAAGGGTATATAGATAAATCGCCGTGTGGGTCCTCGTATGTTTCCGCCACGACAGGAGATGCACTTGAGGACAATGGAGAAGACAAAGAGAAGCATCATTTCAAGACGGAAATGGGATCCGCCACATTCCTGGATATCTTGAATGAGGTTAGTTGAGGTCATTCCTTGTTCTCTGAACTGTGAAAACAGTTTTCTTATGAATTAATATATTTTTCTCTGCTAGATATTTGAGGAAGTGAAAGAGTTGAAGCAAACTCAGATGAAACAAGCTGAGTATATGATTTCCTTGGAGATGGAGCTGGTAAAAACCACTCTGAACAACTCGTAAATTGAAACTCCTTTTTGGTTTTCTGTTTTTTTCATGAGCATCAAATACAAATTCTCTGATTTTTGTTTATGTTTCTTGCAGCTTGAATCAAGAAAAGAGATACTTCGTCTGAAAGGGCTATATGGGAGTTCCTAAGCATATAAGAACAACGGAGTAAGAACCTGTTGCAATTCCCTCTACTACTTCTTCTCTTATGTTTTTGACAAATTCTTCAGACATTTGATATTTTGTTATTTTATATCATTGCGGTTGAGTTTGTCATGATTTTAGTATTGCAGAATTGTTCAAATATAAAAACGAAAACTTGTTTAGATAAATCCAATCCATAGACTCACTTAATTAAAGAAAGTTGTTTGTAAAAATTGCCGATTCGCATTCCATTACGAATTCTCTAAAGAATCGAATATTTTAAAGCCGAAATTTTAACTGGAAATGTCAGTGAAAACTTGCTATAAGATAACTCTATTTCTATCTTAAGAAGGCTATCGAAATTTTACTTCTTTTGACAAACTGTTAAATAACGACAAGCTGTTAATTTTATTTCTTTTAACAAATTCCAATTATTAATGTGGTTTGCTCCGCTTTTGTTTATTGGTATATGGCTAAAAATTAAGTACGTTGATAAATTAAGATATTATATTTTAATTGTTATTAATTATGTAGATTATACCTTATATATATATATATTATGCATAGTAGATTGTAAGAAAAGTAAATCTATATTGGATTTTATCAGGTGGAATAATCAGGCAGACTAAAATTTTGAAAAATGAGATTTTCCCTTAACACATTTTTTCATTAATGGTTACATATTTACATTTATTAATGTTACAAAACGTTATTTTCGAAATAACTTTTAAAGTAAATAAATATATTTTAAATCTTAATTATTGAATTAACTTAGTGACCAATTAATGACTGCTCTTTTATTTTATTTTTGGGAAAAAACTTGTAAAATACCTGAAATTAATAACATTTGTTATAAAAATACGTAAATTATTTTGGCTTCCAGAAAAATACCTAACATGTTATAGAATACCATTTTAATACCCAAACATTTTAATACCATTTTAATACCCAGAAAAATACCTAACATGTTATAGTTTTACACTTTGATTTCAACTCTGGTTATCTTATAAACAAAAATTCTGAAACGGCGTTATCTTTTTAACACCATGTGCGTAAATTACAGATTAAAGACCACTGTTACCCTTTTTTAATTTAACTAATCGATTTTTTTTAAATTAAAATCCTTTTTTTTTCTCCAAACCAGACCCCAAAAAACCTTAAAATTATTTTCAGTAAAATTCTTCTCTCTGGAAGGAAATCGATCTTCTTCCTTGAATTTTCATTCCACCGACTCTCAAAATTGATCTGATTTTTTATGGCAATTGAAGGTTTGAAGATTTGAAGAAAAAATTCATGGTTACAGTTTCTGCCATAGTAGAGGAAGCGACTAAGGAAGAAGGAAACTGATTGGCGGTGGAGAAAAGAAATGAATCGACCCTGGTGGAAATGGAAAGATATCAATTGGCGATGGTGGATTATCTGGGTTACTGACAAATTTACTGATTATTTTTTTGTTCGATCTAACATAAATATGGCTCACGATTTGATTTTTCTTCTTTGAGTTTCCATTTAGATTAGTTTTTTTGTGATTTTTGTTTGGTATCTTTGTAACTGTAACTGAACAAAACACTTGTGTAACTATCACAATATAATGTTAATAATATTCTGGCAACCATTGATTCTTATCGTTGAGATACACAAGGAGAATGGTGAATTTGCATAAATCTTATTTGATAAAATATTATATGGATCTCATATGTAATCTCTGATCTAACTCTAAATAATGGGTTTTCAAATTTCTTATATTAAAAGTGACCAAGAGAAGAGAATAGAAGTTTAACAAATCGACCGAGAGAAGAGAATAGAAGTGAAGAGAAAAAAATTAGAATTAGGGTTCCTCAATTGGGAAAAAACTCGATAAAAGATTAATCGATAAAAAATTAAAAAGGGGTAACAATGGTTTTTTCATTTGGAATTTGCGCACGTGGTGTTAAACAACTAACACCGTTTAATAATTTCCGTTTATCGGGTAAACAGAATTAAAATTAAGGTGTGAATGGATATTAAAATAATATTCTATAGTATGTTAGGTGTTTTCTTGGGAGTCATAATAGTTTAAGTTTTTTTATAGCAAATGTTATTAATTTTAGGTATTTGAAAGGTTTTTTCCTTTTTTTTTTTTTCTTTCGGCAATGAATGATCTTTTCTTTTGGCAAATTATTAATGGAATTAAATATTTTGTGTTTATCAACTATGGTAAGGATTCAATTACTTACCCGTATTGAGAGCGTGTTTTTGGTGGTGAGGATTTAGACACGTGGCAATCACATGAGACGTCCACGGTCAAGCGTTATAATCAATGAGTGACATTTCATTACTTTCATAAAATACAAGAATTATCCAGAGAAGTTTATAAATATCCCCTTGACCCATTTTATATTTCAAAGATATTTAATTTAATATAAGAAGAAAATATCAGAATTATCCAGAGAAGGTTATAAATATCCCCTTGACCCCTTTTATATTTCAGAGATATTTAATATAAGAAGAAAAAAAAAGAAAGGAGACGCAACAAACTCCAAAGAAAATATAGAAATCAATCGTTAAACGCGAAGAGCAGGAACAACTGCGAGGGGCAAGCGATTGTTGCCCATTGAAGTAGAGATTCGACACGAATTTTGGAGTTATCAATCCCAATAGGTATGTTGATTTTTGAATTTCTTGTGACTTCTTCAACTTTATTTTCTAGGGCTTTTAGCTAGTTCGCCGATTTTACGCTGAATGTCTCTTCCAAAGGTTTGGGTTCTTGGTTTGTTTTTATTGATTTGCGAAATTTTCCATCGTCTCCAGGTTTCGCTGATTCTGGGTGAAATTTGGGGATTTTCAATTTAGGTTTTTTTAATTTATTTTATTTTACACGCTTTCTTCAACTGTGGGTCGCTTTTAACCCTTTAACAATCGTTCACTAGCTTGTTCCCCACGACTCGGCAAAAAAAGTGGAATTTTAGTTCCAAATTTTTCTTTTCTAGATAAAAGAAAAACTTGGTGGCCAAGGAGTTTATGTTCCTTAAATATTATAGTTTCGCTGCGATTTGATAATTTTCCAGTTTTCTGGAAATTTCATTACTTTTTTTTTCCAAGTCCCTTATCCCTTAAACTTGAGAGATTTCTGAGACAAGCTTTTTGTGGTCTCTTGTAGATTCTTTGATTGCGACTAAGAAGAATATGGCGGTTTATGAGCAAACCGGAATAGATACATCGAAGAAGAGGAAGCCGAGGGCTCGAGCAGACGGTACAACGGTGGCTGATAGGCTAAAGAAGTGGAGAGAGTACAACGAGACTGTTGATGCTTCCTCCATAGAAGAAGGAGAGAAACCAAGACGGAAGGTTCCTGCGAAAGGGTCAAAGAAAGGTTGTATGAAAGGTAAAGGAGGACCAGACAATTCTCACTGTAGTTTCAGAGGAGTTAGACAAAGGGTTTGGGGTAAATGGGTTGCAGAGATCCGGGAACCGAATAGAGGAAGCAGGCTTTGGCTTGGCACTTTTCCTACCGCGGAAGAAGCTGCATCTGCTTATGATGAAGCGGCTAAGGCTATGTACGGTACATTGGCTCGTCTTAACTTCCCTGAATGTGTTGGCTCTGAGTTTACCAGTACGTCGAGCCACTCTGAGGTGTGTACGGTCGAGGATAAGGCGGTTCTTGGTGGTGAGGTTTGTGTGAAGCAAGAGGATGCTGATTGTGAATCTAAACCATTTAGTCAAACACTAGATGTTAAGGAAGAGTCTAGTGAAACCAGTAGGCTTGCGGATGAACATAGAGATGCGAATAGGATGCTGAATTACGATTGGCTGAATGAGTTTGAGCAGCAGTATTTGAAGGAGAAAGAGAAACCAAAGGAGGAAGACAAAGAAGTGATACAGCAGCTGGAGAAGCAGGAGACGGATTTGCTTAGTGTTGCAGATTATGGTTGGCTTAATGATATGGAAAAGGAGCAGGGTTTTTGGAATTCGCATGAATTTTTTGATGTTGATGAACTCCTTGGCGATATGAATGAAGGTATGTTACCTGATCCTAGTCCTAACCAAGACCAAAACCGGATATATGATTCGTATCCGCTTCAGCTCGAGCCACACGATGGTCACGAGTTCTTCGACTTGAGTTCTCTGGATCTTTGAGACTTTTGAGGCGATGAACAACAGAGTTTTTGGATTTGATCATAGGACATGAGGGTCACGAGTTCTTCGACTTTGAGTTCTCTGGATCTTTGAGAGTTCTGAGGCAATGAATGGTCTACTACAGAGTCTTTGGATTTGATTATAGCAGAAACAAGAAATGGGTGTTGATGATCTGAACTCACAACGAGAAATATAGTACCTTTCTAGTCTTCTAAACTCTTTCCTTTTGATCATGTATTGAGTTAATATAGAGAACAATGGAGGTACTCTTTTTCTCCTCTTCGTACATATAAGAGTGTTACATAATTAACAGAACGAAAAAAAAAACAACCATAATTTACAATTACAGTTCTACAAAATCTCGAATTGAAAGAAAAGAATCAAGGATAAAATAACTTAGCAAAGAGAAGCTCGTTCCAAGTATCTTGAAGACCAGGTAAGCACCAATGTATACAGTCTGAGTAGCTAACCGGATTGGCTAGCTGCTCCTTCGTCAATGGGCTCCATTGCTTCTTGTATATCGATGTGTGCGCATCTTTCCGGTAGCCTGAGAGTTGTGTTATGTTGAGTACCGTCACCGGAAAATCATCGTTCCGGTCTAATTCCTCTCCGATCACTTTCATTAACGTTTTACTGCAGTCTGATGGCCAATGGTCCATGTCTTGGATCGGTGTCGTTTGATTGTAACAGTTCTTCCCTTGCTCGCCTCCCCAATCCTCGCTCCTAATCATATACCAGAGGAAAAGATGAAACCTTTGTACTCGAGTCCCAGTTTTGAGAATGAAAAAAGCTTTTTTTTTTAGATGACTAGAAATCACGGAAAAGATGAAGAAGTTACACTGACTTGTAATGAGTAGGGGACATGGTTGCGAAGAAGACCCGTGTCTTCAACGGATCCATATTCTTCTTCACCCATTTAACCATAGTCTTCAGTGCCATCCGATAAGCATCTTCGCTCTCCATCTCAACGATTCTCTTGTTCTCATCCTTGAATGAACCTTCCCTTCAAATAACAAATCCAATAAACAGTCAAACATCACAAGCATTGGAGTAGACGTACCTATACTTGGAAACAATGTAAAAGTTTCTTTTTTTTTTGAGCAAAGTTTTTAATTTTGATGGATTGTGGTACATACAAGATCTTCATCTTGAAGCCAGTCCTCCACCACAAGTATGTGTTGAACACGACGATATCAGCGCCTCGCCAGTGCCTACCGTGTTTGTTGATCGAGTGTTTCCTCACAATCCGATCAGATACTCTATGGACTGTAGCGTTATCCGAATTCGATTCTAGAAGAAACGGTGCCCAATAGAACTCGATCGTCGCATTGTAATCCTTCAGAAAATGTAAAAGAAGGATCTATCAGGATCACAGCAAGCAATTTTACCAAAATTCAGGCCTAGTCTATCAGATCTTAGCAAGCAGATTTCAAATCCAAAGCTTTAATCTTTGTCATCCTCATACTCCGATCTCAGTGAAGTGTCTTTTGTATCATCACTAATTCAATGGCTTCTCTAAATCTGAAATAACAGAGTATTTATTGATTGATTGATAGCAATTTGCAAATACCTTGAGAGAGAAGACGGTGAGGGAACCAAATGTAGCCATGGATTTGGAATGTTCTGGGATCTGTGAATGAAGAAGACAGATGAGAGAAACATACATTCCTCTGTTCAACGAATCTCCGACAAACATCATCTTCTTCCCTCTTAAGCTCTCAAGCATCATCTTCGCATCAAACCTAAACACACTCAACAACCCCGATCTGAAGATCAATCACTGAATCGACTCTAATTGCAATTGAAATTGAAACCCAGCTCGAACTGAGAGTAAAGGGAGAAGAGAGAAAGAGAGACTAACGAGGGAAGCGAGCAGGATTCAGGCTGCCATCTCCAGGACTGATAATCGCTATCGGGACGGCCATGCGTGCGGCAAGTGAGCTGAGGCTGAATGTACGGACACTCGGATTCTCCGTAAAACGGCCGCGTTGACCCGTCTTTGACCCAATTCCCTTTGAACACATCGCATCCTTCCGGCGTCTTCCCCACCGCAAAAGCCGGAGGTGGAGGAGGAGATGGTGGTGGGGGAGAATGCCGCGGCGGCGGAGGAGATGGTGGCGGAGGCGGTGGAGGATCGTTGACCACGACGAAAATAGCGGATTGGTGGAGGACAGTCGGAGAGCGAAGGGATCGACGGGAGAAAGAGAGGAAATCGTGGCCGTAGATGAAGGCGGCGAGTAGAATGAAAGCGAGTACGGTGTAGAACAAGTGAGTGAGACGGCGTTTTCTACGGAGAAATGAAGACGGTGATGATAATAACGGCGATGTCATTTTTTTTCTTCTTAACTTGTTTTTTTCTTTCTTTTCCCTTTATGCTTCTCCTTTATGGATTGTAATGAATTTTTTTTTCCGGTTTGATTAAAAATGAAATCTGGAGTATAGTGGATTAGAGTAATGTTTTTAGCAAGCAATTTCTTTCTTTTAATTTTTGTTTTTCTAATCAAGTGTTGTACTTCCACGATTTAAGACCAAACCCATGTTCTTCTTTTCCCATAATGTGTCACGACTGTTTATATTTAATTCGAATTACAACAAATTTTAGACTTCACGCTATTAGATTAGATAACACTGTTCTTTTTAGGTGCTTGTGTTTCTGTATTTAGCTGTTTTAATTACGATGATCGTAGGCGAACTGATCATTTGTAAGCTTTTTTGTTCTAAAAAACAGAAAACAAGAGAGAAGAGAAATAGAAATTGTAGTGTGAGAATTTGTAGACACTACTTGGGAGTTTAGGAGCCTCGGCCACGGACTGTGTAGACACATTTTGTATCAAAATTTTAAAATATTTGAGGCAAGATTCATGGTTCTATACTAATTTTTTAAAAACTTTTTTAATCGATATTATATTGCCATTTACATTCATCTTTTGCTCTGTTTTCTCAGTTTGTCATTGTTTTCCAAAAAATTTTTTTAACACTCTCTGATTTCGTGCAAGCTATTTGATAAAAACCATCGAATTTTCATGTTCTGGATTCACTTGAAAAGAATGATATGAACTAATTTCAATTTCATATGTGGCTATGTTTTTCCATTTGGCGTACGAATAACGAAAAGAACAATATCCCATTATATATCACAAAGAAAAGTCGATAAAATAAAAAATCACAGAAAAAAAGAAAATCGAAGCCATCGTCGACGACTTCCTCCGTTGACCTCTCGAAATGCGAGACCTTCTTCGCGCCTATTTCTCTCGAAGAACTCTCGTTTCTCTTTACAATCTCTTCTTAAGCCTCTCCCATAAGCTCCTCACTTCATTCCCTCTCTCCCTCCTCATGCCCAAATCCAACGACGGTGATGGCGACGGCGCCGTCGCAGAATCCGAGGCCGCTCCGCTGCTCGATCTGGCTAAACCGTCGTTACCTGTTTCTTTCCCGATCAAATCTCTTCAAGACCTGAAATCTCGTTCTTACTTCGACTCATTTCACTTCCAGTTTAATCGCTCCACCGTCCCTCTCCGGCGAAATCCTGACGGCTTACCGAATCGCCCAAGGGTTTTAGTCTGCCACGATATGAAAGGAGGGTACGTCGACGACAAGTGGATACAAGGGTGTGAAAACGACGCCGGATTTGCGATTTGGCATTGGTACTTGATGGACATTTTTGTCTACTTTTCCCATTCTCTGGTGACTCTTCCTCCTCCTTGCTGGACCAATACTGCTCACAGGCATGGCGTTAAGGTAAGTGGTTCTCAAATTTTTTTGGATTCTTCAACATCCGAATCTGTTGCTACATGTATTGCTCAATTTTGATTTCAATCTACTGAAATCCCCACAACTTTTCCTTTATTGGAGAAATTAGTTTATTTGGATGAGGCAATTATAGAGTAAGGGTGAAGTGTTTAATTTCTTGTTTTTATGGTAAATTAAGGTATTGGGGACTTTCATCACAGAATGGGAGGAAGGAAAAGCTACCTGCAAAGAGATGCTTGCCACGAAGGAGTCTGCTCAGATTTATGCAGAGCGCTTGGCAGAACTTGCTACTGCTCTATGTTTTGATGGGTGGCTTGTGAGTTTTTCTTTCTTTTGCTAGATTTGTCATGATTCTTTTGTTCATTGGCATTTGTCGATGTGAATTTTGTGTTTATAGTGGATAATTGTAACATATCTGCATCTGGGAAACACACTAGTCAAGTGTGGTGAAGAACAGGCATCTCTAAAATGTGAAGTGCATTACCTGCAGATAAATATAGAGAACGAAATAGATGAAGAACAGATTCCAAATTTGAAGGAATTCGTGAGCCATCTAACAAAAGTCTTGCATTTATCTACACCTGGGGCTTTGGTAATATGGTGAGTAGTTCATAATTTTTTTCTTAGTTCTTGTGTGTAAGCCACATTGATCTGATTACCTTTTTTTTTGCAGGTACGACAGTGTCACTGTTCGTGGCCATCTTCAATGGCAAGATCAGCTGACTGAGAAGAACAAACCTTTCTTCGACTTATGCGATGGAATATTCATGAACTATACATGGAAGGTTTGCCTTTCGGTTTTATCACGTTCTTCAGTCACAGTTTCTTTTATATGTCTTGCCTGTGATATGAGTGGGAGATGATATTTCAGGAAGGCTACCCTAAACTATCAGCTGAAGTTGCTGGGGACAGAAAATATGATGTCTACATGGGAATTGATGTCTTTGGTCGGGGCTCCTTTGGTGGTGGGCAATGGACTGTATGTCTCAGAAACTCTGGAGTAAACCAATAATTTTTCAGAAATGTTTCATCATTGTCTCGTTAATTTACATGCTAGGTAAATGCTGCTCTTGATTTGCTGAAGACAAGCAATGTATCAGCTGCCATTTTCGCTCCCGGATGGGTATATGAGACTGCACAACCACCCAATTTTTATACGGCTCAGAATAAGTAAACACTTATTTTCCCCGATTTGATTGTTTTAAAAAATTCTTCTTTCAAATTTTGGACTACCATTATTGAGTTTCAGCTTAAATCTTTGTTGTAGAGGAAATGCTGAATCTTATTATCATTAATGTGATTTCTCTTTAGATGGTGGTCACTTGTCGAGAAGTCATGGGGAATAGTACAAACTTATCCACAAGTTTTGCCTTTTTACTCAGATTTCAATCAGGTAAGGTGAGATTGATGTAGTCTCTGTTCTAAAAACCACGGTAAAGTATGCATTGACTTTCTTGCTTATGATTGTTTTCATTTATGTTCTGAAACTCTCTTCTCTATGTTTTATTCAGGGCTTTGGTCACCATGTTTCACTCGAAGGTCGCCAATTGTCAAATGCTCCATGGTACAACATTTCTTGCCAAAGTCTCCAGGTTGAATCATCTTACTCTCTTTGTTTTACTGCACACACCTAGTATTTACATAAACCAAAAACTTTTACCGTCACAACACGACATTTGATCTGTTTTGTGTCTCCTCTCATCTGATATCTGACTTTGTTGTGTTCTTTCACGTCAGCCTCTCCTTGAATTCAATGAAGACAACAACGATATCATCCGGGCCACGGTTGAGTGAGTTCTGGCACCAATACTATCCGCATATCCATTGTTTCGGCATCTTGTTAATTAGCATACATTTCTGAGCGAATTTTAAACCATAATTACCATGATAGTTCTCGAGAGGCATCTTATACCGGAGGAGGGAACATCGCTTTTAGGGGAATACTCAAGGGAGATGCCTATTTCACAGCAAGGCTCTTCAAACCGCATCTTCAGCTTTCTTCTTCTCCCATCACAATTTCCTACTCTGTAAGTCTCTGCTTCTAGATACATTACTTTATGAGATCTTGTTTTTCTGTTTTTACTAATGGAAGATTTGGAGTTGGTGCAGGTGAAATCAGATGAAACCTCTAAACTTGGAATCCTGCTTTGTTTCTCATCTGCATCACACGAGACTAAATCCATACTCGTGGCACCAGAAGAACCGATCGGCAGATTCAACCACATGTTCTTGCAGTGTCTCGCCACATCAGAGCAGACTGTATCCGAGTGGACGGTCCACGAGACGAGCCTTGTCATGGATGGCCACACACTGACTGAAATATCTGCATTTTGCTACGGACCAGAGAACTCGACAAGGGGACCAGAATATGCTGCATTACTGGGCCACATCTCAATGAAAGATCATGTTCAGCTCCAACAAACACCTGATTCTTTACCTCCAGAGTCGTCGTGGGTCATCGAGGCTCATAACATAGAGCTTGCACCTGGTAATTCCGGCTCCAACATCCTCAGGGTTAAACTAGAATGGAGACAGAAACATCTCAAAGATTCCGTGTTCCCAAGGTACAACGTGTATGCAGAGAGTGTGAAGTCGACTGATCTAAGATCGAGGAAGGTTCTAGAGAAACCGAGAAGCGAGAGTGTGTTCATCGGGATCGCTTATGTACCAACGTATTACGTATCAGAACTGGTGGTTGAATCGGACGTGAAAGGAGTATGCTTCGTGGTTCAACCCTGTGGTGAAGATGGTTCATGGGGGAAGCTAGATGATTCCCCAAAGCTTCTTCTGGAGCTGGAAGCTCTCTCGTTTAAAGATTTGTCCTGAGTTGCTTGACGCCAAAACCCCTCGAAACGATTATTCTTGAAAATAGGATGATTTAATCACGGGAAAAAATATAAAAAACTTCAAACTGAATAAATATACTATGTAAAATCAGGTACGATCTATAATAAAAGTATATAAAAATAGAAATCTATCGATCTTTCCAGAAAAGCTTACCAGGCGCTAATAATTTAATGTCTATTGCTAACGAAATGTAAACCAACATACGTACTGCAATACTAACAATTTTTTTTTCTATTTTCCAACAAAAAAAACTTCATTATTGCTCGATTATTCTGACCCGATTAACCTGGTTTATCCAGAACACAGATCATCTTGCAACATTTTGCAACATTTTCATTACAACATTTTATAATAGTTGAAAACATTGTTTTCACGGGTTTCCTATCATCTTACGTGAGATAATACACGACGCTTAATTCGCGCAAGGCTATTCTAGAGACACCACGCGTATGCCACAAGCCAATTTCCGTCTTTCCACGTGTCAATGAATAACAAACCCACGTCATCCCATTTCTAACTCATCGCCGTCTCTTAAACCTCTCTCTTGACCCACTCGCCGTTCGCCAACTCCGACGTTTACAGAGAATTCCCTCTTCATTGCTCTCTCTCTCTCTCTAGATCTTAAGACCTAATGTTGCTCAAGGCTTCTCCCGCGCTTTCTCTCCTGAGCTCCGGCGGCGGAGTTCTCTTTCCTCCGTCCAGAAATCCGTCGAATCTTCTGTTTTCTTCGAGCGCGTGTCGTGGATCTAGGTTTTCTGTTCAGGCGGCGAAAGGAACGAGCACGAAGTCGTTAACCGGAGTTGTGTTCGAACCTTTTGAGGAAGTGAAGAAAGAAATGGATCTCGTTCCTTCTACACCTCTGGTTTCTCTCGCTCGCCACAAGTTCGCTGATGATTCCGAGTCTGCGATTAACGATCAGATCAAGTATGTGCTCTTCTTTACTTTTGGTTTAATCGGCATCTAAGTTTTCGATTCTCTTCTCCAGTGAAATTTGAAGGAACCATATATTTATTCAGCCTTGGGATTTCAGTGATTGATTTGTACTTTCCGATTTATCATTTCTCAAGGCCTATTTAATCTTCATCCTTTTCTGCTGATTATGAGCTTCGTTTCACTTATCATGGTGTGTCCGATTCAATTGTCATTTGTTGCTTTAAATGATTTATGCTTACGAGAATATTCCAATCAGCATCGAGTTAGCTTGGTTAGTTGTATATTTTGGTTAATACGTGACGACGAGGTATCTGAATCTAGCTTCTCTTATTTGCGTTACATTTTGGGGAAGACAGTGTGGAGTACAATGTGTCGTACATCTATCATGCCCTGTATGCCTACTTTGACAGAGATAATGTCGGCTTGAAAGGTTTCGCCAAGTGAGTTTCTTTAGTCTTAAGAACCATCTATTTGTTTCTCTGTTCCTTTATGCGGGACGATCATCTTTTTGTTGGTTTCATTGATAGGTTCTTCAAAGATTCGAGTCTTGAAGAACGTGGTCATGCTGAAAAGTTTATGGAGTACCAGGTATAATTTCGAAAATTCTATCAGGTGATGTGATGGATCTCTAATAGTGTTTCTTATGTCCGATGGATTCGATCTTCAGAACAAGCGTGGCGGGAGAGTGAAGCTGCAGTCTATTTTGATGCCCTTCTCTGAGTTTGATCATGAAGAGAAGGGGGATGCATTATATGGTAAGTTCATTCTAGTTCATCGTCCAGTTTTCTTGTAGCAGCAGTTAAATGATCTTTAGAGTAATATAGATCATAGTAAGTCTGAAATACAGTATATCGATGGCTATGGTCTTCCAAATATTATGCTATTGATGATGATTCTGACTCTTTTTTATGAATCAGCTATGGAGCTTGCGCTATCTTTGGAGAAACTTACCAACGAAAAGCTTCTGAAGTTGCAAAGTGTAAGATGTTTACCTTTCCATCAGCTGTTTCATGATTCAGTACTAATGCTGAGCCTTAAAAGCCAAAACATTCGGTTTTCAAGGAGCACAGTTTCACAGAAAAAACAGATGAGAATGAATAATCTCTCTCTCCTATGTTTGATCCTACAGGTGGGTGTGAAGAACAATGACGTTCAGCTGGTTGATTTTGTTGAATCCGAGTTTTTAGGCGAGCAGGTGAAATGATACACATGTTTTCATATTTTTCACTACTTGAAAATTAGGCGATCCTCATAAAATCGGTGGAAAAAAAACAGGTCGAAGCTATCAAGAAAATCTCAGAGTACGTTGCACAGCTAAGAAGAATTGGGAAGGGTCACGGTAAGTCCTTAAAACCCTCGTAAAAGATCGTTCTTAAAACTGAGACTGCACTTTCTTTTTGGGTGTTTAATTAATAATACCGTCCGGTGTGAAAACTGCAGGAGTTTGGCATTTTGATCAAATGCTTCTGAATGAGATTTAAGGGAGCTGCAGTACCGGCGAGAGGGACTAATGAATGCCAAGAGTTTTATTTTCTTATGTTTTAAAATTTGATAAAAAGACCATGATGGATTTTCTATCCTCTTTTTTTTTTTTTGTTTACAGCAAACATTAATCGATATAAATAAATAAGATCCATACGTGCTTAGCAGGAAACTCGAAGGATTTGTTTTTTATTTTTGAGGAAAAAAAAATTGGTTTAGAATTTGGTTCACATGCCAAGCCGTGCCAAAAAAAAAAAAAATTTGGTTTTAATTTTGGTTGTCTCGTAGAGCCAACTGCGTGTCGTTTACTGACACATTGAAACGGCATGGCGTTGGAGCAGGGATTGTCTCTTTTAAGTGTATCTCTAAATCTAAAACAAAGCAAAACCTGAGAAAACGAAACGTAGGCAAAGGTCTGAGCTTTTTATTCGAAAAACAAAAAGAAAAAGCTCTTCGACAATGGAGAATGCTACAGCTTTCTCACCGACTAACCCACACTTTTTCCAGCCTCTTCTTCCCGGTTTCCACAGCCACCTCGTAATCTCTCTCCCTCTCTTTGAACATGCATGTATCTATTACTCGAGTTTTCTCTGGATTTCTTTTGTTGCAGAACATTCCCATGGCGTTTTTCTCAAAGCACTTAGAGGGAACAACAAATCTGGACAATGCGGTGGTGAAGCTGAGATCGGACGCTTCCGATATAACCTGGGAAGTGAAGATGGACGGTCGGAGACTCACCCAAGGCTGGCAAAATTTCGCCACCAGTCATGATCTCAGAGTCGGCGACATAGTCATTTTCAGACACGATGGAGATTTGTTGTTCAATGTCACATCTTTTGGACCTAGTTGCTGTGAGATTCAATATGACGACGATGATGTCGTTCAAATAGCTTCTGGTACTAGCTTAATCACTTTTAAGTTTTTAGCACTAAACTTATATATAAACTAAGTCCACTATTTGGGTAGCTCAATGCAATTACTTTGAACTCGGTTTACTCTAATTAACTATATTAGTGGTAATTTCCAAGATTCTGTTTAGATTCTCATTCCAAAGTTGAAACAGATTCAGATCCCGACAAGTATCAACACACAAGAGAAGCAGGATCTTCATCAGATCACTCTTGTTTTCTAGCACGTGTCACCGCGTCAAATCTAAGCAAAGATTTGCTGGTGAAAGATTGCTTCTGAAATTGATATTATTCTCCTTAAACCTGAGAATCTAAGAATTTCGTTGAATCTTAAACTTTTACTCTCTGTAAAACTTTGCAGTTTCTTCCAATGGATTTTGCAAGGTCTAATGGTTTGATGAATCGTCACTGCGAGACCATTCTATTGAATGAAGATGGGAAACCATGGACATTGTTCCTGAAATACACCAAAAAAACACAGAGTCGTGCTTACATCGCACGAGGCTGGAGAAGTTTCTGCCGCGCAAATGAAAAAAGAGCCAACTGTCTATTGACCTTTAAACTTGTGCAAACCGGTACAAAACCTGTTTTCCAGTTTTTGTTCTTGATATGATTCCATGGAGATCATATTTTCGTCAAAGAAAGGAACAGAGTAGAGCCGACTTGACGTCAACAAGAGTTGATGAAGATATTTGAAGTTTCCATTTCTGTTTAATTGGTTTTCTATTTATGAATTTCCTTTTTAGTAATGGTCCTTGAGTATAAAAGGACTTCTATAGTTTTTTTTAATTTCTTTATCGGGAATTTGGGGAATTGTGGCTTGTTCTCTAGGGTAAGAGATACAAGAGGTTTTCATCTTCAAGCTTATACGCTTGGGTGTGTTTTCTAGTCTTTTAAGCAATAAAGGTCTAAGTTCTTACCAAATTGGTGCGTCGTGAGTGCTTGTGATTGAATAATCGTAAACCAAAGAGATGGGGAAAGATTCACAAAAGTCGCAAACGGCCGACTCGACACAACCGTTGTCACTGGAATCTCTGTCTCACACGTTGATGCAGAGTATCACGTCACAGGTGGAGTTCGAGAAACAGACTACGCTGCAGTTTGCGTCCATTGATTCAAAGTTCTCGGAGCTCATAGCTGTCTTGAAGAAGGGATCCGATCGTAAGGATGAGGTTTTGGAGTTTTCGAACCCAAATTACTCTTCCCAAGCTCGTCAGGTCCGTTTTCCTGATTCGGCGACCGACAATCATCATCGCTCTACAGATTCTTCTACTGGAAACACCATCATTAACAGTCGTGAAGGAATGTTGAAACGAATTGATCTTCCTGTTTTTGACGGAGCTGATGTGTATGGTTGGATTGCGTTAGCAGAGAGATTTTTTCAGAATTGGAGGCTATCAAGACGATGCAAAGCTAGAAATCGTCTCGATCAGTTTGGCTGGTGATGTTTTAAGCTGGTTTAATAGTGCAATGCATCATAAACCGTTTCTGTCTTGGAGGGATTTTAAGGATAGACTCCTTGCAAGGTTTAACCGTGAGAAGTTACGAGATCCAAGCCAACCTTTTTTTAACATCAAACAAACTGGTTCTGTCGCTGAATACATTCATGAGTTTGAGGACCTTTCTACTCAAGTCTCGGGACTCTCTGAAAGTCAGATAGAAGGAATTTTTATGAATGGTTTAACACTGGCGATGAGAGAGGTGGTGAACATGTGCAAACCAGTGGACCTTCAAGAGATGATTGCTTGCGCTTACCAAATGGAGTTCAGTTCTTTGCATAGCGTGGTGCAAAAGGAACATCAGCAGAGCAATAAACATATGAGTGGACCAGCGCATACGTTTTCTAAATCGTTTTCCTCTCCTCATACTGCTCCTTCGTGGAAAATGAGGCAACTCACTTCCCCTACAGATCATCAACAGAGCACCAATGTGATCGCCAGACCACAGCTTAAGTTGTCTGAAGCCCAAATTGCAGAGAAAAAGCGTCTGGGGCTGTGTTTTAAATGTCCTAAGAAGTGGTCACGGACCCACAAGTGCCTTAACCAAATGTTGCAGGTCTTGACGGTAGTAAACGGCTTTGAGATGGAAATCTTGGACCAAGGTTTGGTCGCCGTCGAAGCCCAAAATGGTGTAGACGAACCAGTGCTGATGGAATTATCCTTGAATTCTTTTCTTGGGATAAATTCTCCTACTACTACGAAGATGAAGGGTTCTGTGAAGAAGAATACAGTGGTTGTTATGCTAGACAGTGGAGCTACGCATAATTTCATCACTCCAGATGTGGTTAAGAGAACTCGTTTACAAACCGTTGTTAATTCTAATTTGGAGATCATGTTGGGAACTGGTGTATCCGTTCAAGGGATAGGACTTTGTCAGAATGTGCAGTTGTTGTTGCAGGGATTGATTTTTACTACAGACTTCATTGTTCTCGAGTTAGGAAATGCTGATATCATTCTTGGAGTTCAATGGCTACGTACTCTAGGGAAGTGTCAGATTGATTGGGACATACATGAATTCTCTTTTATGTATCAAGGGAAACAGGTTACTTTGACAGGAGATCCATCTTTGCACACGCCCAAACTGTCTTTGAAGTACCTACAGCCGGCGTTTTTAGAGAAGAAGCAAAGCGCTACACTCCTGTTGGGAAATACACAATTTTCAAAAACGCAAGACTCGAGTTTAATTCCTGAAATTGCTGCGGTTTTGGACAAGTATGATCATGTTTTTCAACCACCGTCAGGCCTACCACCATTGAGGGGCAGAGAACATTCCATTACTTTACATCCTGGGATGGGACCAATCAGTGTCCGGCCGTACAGGTATCCTCACGCGCACAAGGAGGCTATGGAAAAGTTAGTGCAAGAGATGCTTGATGATGGTTTGATTCGCAGAAGCCACAGTCCTTATTCTAGCCCAGTGTTGTTAGTAAAAAAGAAGGACAATTCTTGGCGTTTTTGTGTGGACTATAGAGCTTTAAATAGAGCTACTGTTCCTGACAAATATCTGATTCTGATGATTGATCAGTTACTGGATGAATTGCATGGAGCAACTCTGTTTTCTAAGCTGGATCTACGATCTGGTTATCATCAGATTCGCATGGAGGAAAAGGATATCGAGAAAACTGCTTTTAGGACTCATGACAGTCATTATGAGTTTGTAGTTATGCCTTTTGGGCTAACTAATGCTCCTGCAACTTTTCAGGCCTTGATGAATGACGTATTTAAGGAATTCCTCAGGAAATTTGTTCTGATTTTTTTCGATGATATTTTGATCTATAGTTCAAATCTCTCGGATCATGTTAAACAATTAGAGTTGGTCTTGGATGTGTTTGTGGAACAGAGACTGTTTGCTAATAGGAAAAAGTGCTCTTTCGGTCAGGAGACGGTCTAATATCTCGGTCACATTATCTCATCAGCAGGAGTTGCTATTGATCCCCAAAAGATTGCTGCAGTAGAGAAGTGGCCAAATCCTCGAACGGTGAAGGAACTGAGAGGTTTTTTGGGGCTTACGGGCTATTATAGACGTTTTGTTCAACATTATGGATTACTGGCTAAACCCTTGACTGAATTACTTAAAAAGGAGCAATTCGAGTGGTCAGATGAGGCGCAATTGGCATTTGATAGCCTCAAGAGTGCTATGATTTCTGCACCTGTTTAGCTTTACCAGACTTCACTCAGGTATTCATTGTTGAATCTGATGCTTCCGGTTACGGTCTTGGAGCTGTGTTGATGCAAGGCAGACACCCGATTGCTTATTTTAGCCATGGGTTAACTGATAAGGAGCAGCTCAAACCAATTTATGAGAGAGAACTAATGGCGATAGTTTTGGTTATTCAAAAATGGCGACATTACCTTCTTGGCCGCAGGTTTGTGGTTCGAACAGATCAACAAAGCTTGAAATATTTATTGGAGCAAAGAGAGGTCACTTTGGATTATCAGAGATGGTTGACTAGAATTATGGGTTATGACTTTGATATCGAATATAAAGTAGGGTCTGAAAACAAGGTCGCTGATGGTCTCTCACGCATCGTCACACCTACCTCTACCTTACTCTTATCTTTAACCATTCCCACCACTCTGCAATTGCATGATCTGTTTAAGGAGGTTGATGAAAGTGAAGAAATTCAGGAGGTGATCCGCAAGCTTTCAACTGGGGAATCAGTTAAGCCGGGTTATACAATGATTGATGGAAGACTTTTTTTTCATAGACGTCTGGTTCTTCCTCAAAACTCTGCTTATATTTCGTTGATTCTGCAGGAATATCATGATAGTTTATTGGGCGGACATTCTGGAGTTTTGAAAACCTTAAAGAGAATTCAAAACAATTTCTATTGGAAAAAAATGAGAGTGTGCAGCAATATGTCTCGGAATGTGCCGTATGCCAAACTCATAAGTATTCAACTCTCTCCCCAGCTGGATTGTTGCAGCCAATCGAATTACCAGTGCAAATTTGGGAAGATATATCTATTGATTTCATCGAGGGCCTTCCTAAGTCTCAAGGTGTCAATGTCATCTTGGTGGTAGTTGACAGATTGAGTAAGTATGGTCACTTCATTGGCCTTCGACACCCTTTTACTGCACTGGAAGTGGCTCAAAAGTTTATTCAAGAGGTTATTCGCCTTCATGGTTATCCTAAATCGATAATCTCTGATCGTGACAAGATTTTGTTGAGTAACTTTTGGAAAGAGTGTTTCAAGGCTTCTGGTACAAGATTAAGATTCAGCACAGCTTTTCATCCGCAATCTGATGGACAAACCGAGGTCTTGAACAGGTGTTTGGAAACTTACCTTCGTTGCTTTGCATCTCAGCATCCTAAGTCTTGGGCTAAGTATCTTGGATGGGCAGAGTTATGGTATAATTCTTCCTTTCATACCTCTACTCAGTGTACTCCATTTAAGATGGTATATGGTCGTGATCCTCCTGCGTTATTGTCTTATGAAGTGGGTTCTACAAATAACTTTGAGTTGGAAACTATGTTACGGGAAAGAGATTCGATGTTGGCTGACGTTAAGCGCCATTTGCTTAAAGCTCAAAGCAATATGAAGAATAATGCTGACAAACATAGAAGAGACTTGGAGTTTGAGATTGGTTCAAGAGTCTATCTAAAGCTACGACCTTATCGACAACATTCAGTAAGTAGACGCCTTTGTCAAAAACTAGAGCTCGCTATTATGGTCCATATGAAGTTTTGGATCGCATTGGAAAAGTTGCTTACAGGCTGCGGCTTCCACCGGAATCTCGAATCCATTCGGTCTTTCATGTATCTCAATTAAAACCGGTTATTGGTCAAGGGCAGGTGGTTAATCCTCTTCCTCCATCCGTGACGGTTGATGATGAGTTAGTCGTTGAACCAGAGGATTTGTTAGACACACGCTATGATTCTGAAGGACATCTTGAGGTTCTGGTGCAATGGAAAGGATTACCTACCCATGAAAACTCGTGGTTAAGGATTCGTGATCTTAAACATCAATTTCCACACTTTGCGCTTGAGGACAAGCTCGTGCTCAAGAAAGGGGGTATTGATATGATTCCATGGAGATTATATTTTCGTCAAAGAAAGAAACATAGTAGAGCCGACTTGACGTCAACAAGAGTTGATGAAGATATTTGAAGTTTTCCATTTCTGTTTAATTGGTTTTCTATTTATTAATTTCCTTTTTGGTAATGGTCCTTGAGTATAAAAGGACTTTTATAGTTTTTTTAATTTCTTTATCGGGAATTTGGGGAATTGTGGCTTGTTCTCTAGGGTAAGAAATACAAGAGGTTTTCATCTTCAAACTTATACGCTTGGGTGTGTTTTCTAGTCTTTTAAGCAATAAAGGTCTAAGTTCTTACCAGTTTTTCTTCATCTTCAACAAGCCAATGCTGATTCTTGACACTAACTCGCACAACATACAATCTCAACATCTGTAAAATGGTAAGTAAATAAGTTTCATTAATTCATTTCAACATTGTTCCCAGAATTTGTAATGTTTTTGAGTTCTTTATAGCAGTGTCTACCGGGGAATTTTGAGAAGGCGAATGGTATCGAGAAGGCGAGGAAGATAACTCTTATGGATAGATACGGTATCAAAAGGAAAACGAGTCTTAAACCTGATAACGACTATGGAAGAATGAGATTGAGAAAAGAGTGGAGAGAGTTCTGTGCAGCTAATGGAGTGAAGGCTGGTGAGTCTTTCAAGCTGGAACTCATCAAGGAAGACGAAGACACAGTTACTCATCTACTTAAGTTCTGCTCCAAACTCTAAATTCTCTCTCAGTTTGTTTATCTTATGTTAATATCTACTTGAAATGTGTATTATGTTTTTTAGCTGGCTTGTAACATGCAAGACTTTAACAGCTTGGGTGTACAAAGGAAAGCAAATTCCTGTGTTCAGCTTGTGTTACTTCCTTTGAATGGATTATCTGGATGAGTCAATCCAAGTATACTTTAAAATGACGATCCAAACTGCTCTAAGAATAAATAGTTTGCACAAAAAATTGTGACTAGTCATCCAATGTCAAACAACAGACCACTCAAATCCAAAACAATAGCTCTTTTGATTATATACAGTACTCAATTGTATATTTCTCTGTGCTTAGCTCATGTTTTTCCAAAAACGCCACAAGCAATAAAAATGCACTAACCGACATCGTTTAGTCGACCCACCCACTAGGCCTCACTGGATCCATTGGAGTTGACACCTCTGAGCCATATGGAGGGTTGCACAGACGCTTGTTGACTTCTTCTGGTCGTCACAAACTGTAGCTCCTCGATTCGCCGAAAACTCGATATCGTACTCTCAGCTGCTTTCTCTCTGTCCCATGGCAAATCCGACGGAAAATCTCGACCCGAATCCACCGACCCGAGAACCAGAAGATGAAGTGGAAGAACTGAACGGCGACGAAGAAGAAGAAGAAGAAGAAGAAGAAGTGGAGGACGATGATACCGTATCGAAACCACAAACGCGCGAGGGCCGATCCAGTGTGGACAAGGCCAAGGTGGAATCGCTGTTCCATCGGATGCGAGAAGCTCCTGTGCCGGTGCGTGTTCACGACGTGATCGTGAAAGGAAACGAGAAGACCAAGGACTACATCATCGAGGCCGAAGTGGATGCTGTGAGAGAGGCGACCACGTTGCAGGAGATTCTCGAAGCCTCTGCAATCGCCAATTCGAATCTCCGAGCGCTCGATATCTTCGATTCCGTCAAAATTACCCTCGATTCTGGTCCTCCAGAGCTCCCTGGTACCACCAATTTGGTAATCCAAGTTGTCGAGAGCAAAAGCCCTCTCACCGGCCAAATCGGCGCCTACACTAGAGCAGGGGTATTGCAATTCACTGCTAAGTTTCTTCAATTGAGTTTTGTTATATTGTGTGTGAGCTTGTGGAGTAGGAGATAACTGTTATGCTCTTTGTAGGTTAGATCATCAAGCCTTGAAGCATCTTTGAAGTATAAGAACATTTTTGGCTATGGAGATATTTGGGACGGGTCTATAGTTTATGGCTGTGACAACTCTGCTGAGGTTGGCATGGGGATGTATTTGCCAAGATTCAAAGGACTTCCTACTCCTTTCACTTCTCGTCTTTTCCTTTCGACTCAAGACTGGCTCAAGTTTTCTTCTTATAAAGAACAATCTTTGGGACTTTCTCTCGGGCTTCTCTCAAGCAAGTATCACGAGCTGGTTTACACGGTTGCGTGGCGTAACCTGATAGACCCGTCTCAGTCTGCCTCGAAATCAATAAGGAGGCAACTGGGACATAGTCTTCTTTCTGCATTGAAGTATACTTTTAAATATGACCAGAGAGATTCATCCTTGAGGCCAACGAAAGGATACGCTTTTACCTCTACTTCTCAAATTGGTGGTCTTGCTCCTGATAGCCGAAGCCTACGCTTTTTGAAGCAGGTTCGTCCCTTCTTCATTCTTGGTTCCAACATTTAATATCGAGTAGGATAGATGTATCGCAAATTCCTTGTCAAATTTAACGTATGCTCTCATTGTGAAAGTAATAACAAGATTCTCAGACCTCTTTGACACTTTGTTAGCATCCATTCTCGTTTTGTTTTGTCAGGAAATGGATCTCCGGTATGCTGTTCCGTTCGGGTTCTGCCATGCTGCTCTAAACTTAGGTGTATCTGGGGGTGTCACCTTTCCATGGGGAAGCGGATACCAGAGCCGGACTTCCTCTGTGCCAGAGAGATTCTTCTTGGGTGGCAATTCATCGCCTGTGTGCTCTCTGGTTGGGCCATCCGCGCTATGGGGTTTTAAGACCAGAGGACTTGGTCCCAACGAGCCAAAGAGGAAAGGCGATGATGAAAGAGATTTTCTTGGAGGAGATGCTGCGGTCACTGCATTTGCTGATCTCTCGTTTGATTTGCCAGTGAGATGGCTAAGAGAGAGAGGAATCCACGGGCATGTGTTTGCTTGTGCGGGGAATATGGCAAAGCTATCAGAGAATGAGTTTAGAAACTTCACTGCTCCAAAGTTCTTGGAGACGTTCAGAACTTCAGTTGGTGCTGGAATCGTCTTACCAACTAGTCTCTTCCGTATGGAGGTTTGGTTTCTCATCACCACTCTCCTTTCTACGTTTTTTGAATCGAATGAAAGTGAGGTTATTAACACCGACATTTTATCCATCTTTTGTTACGAGACAGATTAACTACTGCCATATATTGAAGAAACAAGAACACGATCGAGCGAAATCTGGGTTTTTCCTGACATTCTCGGCCTCGTCCTGAGAAATTTTAGTTGAAGAAGGTAACTCAATATGATATGGCCTTCCATTTTTTTTTTTCTTAAGCCGTGCCGTAATGTCTGGCAGGCAGATCGTCTTTGGTTTCAGGCAGATATGATTTCATTGTTGAATCTGAGAAATTTTAGAAAGAGTTTGGTTCTTTTATCATGTTTGCATGGAATTATCAATTTTTGGATTCACGAGGAATAAGAAAAAAAATGATCTGTTCACCGTATATTTGTCTTTCTTTGGTTAATCCCACTTTAAACGAAACGAGGTACAACAAATTATCGCAATTATTTTTTTTTTTTAAATGTCAATGGAATCTAGAATTTTTTTCAATAATTAGAAGAAAACAAACATTTACTATTAAAAATTGAGACTATGTAATTATGCATGTATATAATCGGGAATAGTGCAAAACAAACCTAAACCTTTGAAAAAAGAAACTGTAAACGTTTCTAGACCAAAATATAAACCTACGCAAAATAAGACTTTCTAATAATTTATAATGTAAAAAGCCGTTAAATAGAGTTGGACAAACAACTTTTTGAAATTTCTTGTAATTAAAGTAACCAAAATATGTAAGTTTACTATATAACAAAAAAAAAGACTTGTATTCTCCTCGTTGGACGTGAAGAACTTTGGTAGAAAGACTACCTTGTGGTTGTGGCTTAGGAGAGGGACTTGATTAGATGCTACGGCTTTGTGAAGACTACAAGGACAGATAAGAAAACCTATGAGATTATTATAATCAAGAGTTGAATGGAAATGGAAACCATTATTTCAATGTTTAATATGCGAAATGATTGTTAGGCAAGTGACATTTGTTTTGTTGAGATTAGCAATCTGATAAAATAAAAATTTTACTTGTTTGTATATTCTACTCATTTACGAAGGTTGAAAGATTTCAAGATTGTTAGGATTTTTGAATGTTGGAGTTAACAATTAAAAAAAGTTTAGTTTTGTTTTAGGATTGATTTTTCTTGTTTTTGGTATATTCTCAACCATAATGAATGATGAGTAGAAGAGGAAGAGAAGGGAAAGGGATAGTGAAGGGGTCGGTGGTGGTGGGCTTCTCATTCTCTCACTTATCTTGTCAAATGTCTTGTCTTCTCCATTTCCACACTCCATTTTCTATTGGCAACCTGTGATTTATTTTGCTTGAATATGTAGTATATATTATGTATAGTCTCAAACAAAAACCAAAAAGAAAAATATATATGCTCAATTCAGTTTGGTTTTAAGCATCACCCCACTTTGTAAGTAAATCACTTGGATTTCGAGCAATGTGATATTTATTTCATACTTTCCTTGATTGACTTTTTACATCTAATCTAAGTCTTGTTTCTTCTGTTTTTGTTTTTTTCCCAATGTCCACAATCTCAAAAAGGAGACAAACAACTTATTGGTTACTTTCACTCTCTCTCTCTCTCTCGTACGCTATCCTTTGATTTTTCAACATAATAATCTCAAAGATAAACCAGTATATGATTATAATTTATGACCTATTGGATTCGAACCCACGACCAATCATGTAATTAGTAAAGAAAAGCTCAAGCCAACACAAATGATGAATAGGCCCATGCCATGTCCCATTGTGTCCCCTTCTCTATCACCTACAAAAACACTCTTCTTCACAACAAAATCATAAAGAGTCTAATAATATATATATGTAGGAAGCATGAGATAAAACTTGGAAAAAACGAGAGCCCAACATTTACCAACCAAAATCAAAAAAAAAAAAAAAAAAAAAAAACGTGGTTTGAGATGAGAGGGCATGAGCCACGATCAAGCTCATCTTGTGCAGCTTGCAAGCTCTTGAAGAGAAGATGCACACCCACTTGCATTTTCGCTCCTTATTTCCGCTCAAGTGACCCCATAACTTTCGCCAAAGTCCACAAAGTTTTTGGCGCCAGCAACGTAAGTAAGCTTCTCAGTGAGGTTCCTGATGAACAGAGACAAGAAACCGTCAACTCGTTGGCTTATGAGGCTGAGGTTCGTCTCAAGGACCCTGTTTATGGTTGCATTGGAGCAATTGCTTCTCTGCAGAAGAAGATGCTCGAGCTTCAACATGATCTAGCCGTTGCTCGCACTCGACTACTTGCCCATTCTGGGGCCAACAACCACGTGCCCCCTCTGGATGATTCCCCTGAGCTCGCTGCTTTTCTCGATCTTGTACCATATAGTGACTTGATGTTGCTTGATGGTTCTAGTCTTGATGCTTACTTGTATGATCTTGGACAGCCTCCTTTTGTATAGGCCTTATCTCTTTAACTGATGTATTTGCACTTGCTTTTAAGTCGTCTTCGCAATCTAAAAGTCGCTAATGTAAGAATTCGAATATGCAAAAATCACATGCTTACTTCATCCTTTTCAGATTAACTTCAAAACTAACCAACTTATGCAAAATGAGAAAACTAAGGTACATGATGAGCCATGGAAGGTCAGAGTCCTTACCAGTTTTGGACCAAGCGGTAGGACATCGCGAGTAAAGTGAGGTGTTTTTTTTTAGATGCAGAGCTATTTGTAAGTCAGGTCTGAATAGGAGATCACATGCTTATGTCAGCCCCCAATTCTACCAAACATCAAGCATTGATAGATATGCTTCTGTGATTTTGCTTTTGAGGCTCCAATAATACAGCCTCATGTGTCACCTCGTGTCCATCAGGTCACAAGAGTCTTGTCCTGGAGATTCCAGATTGCTGCAAAGCCACATAAGCAAGCAGCCAAATCAATAGCTTGGCTTGGTGGGTTTGATCGGTTCCGAAAGTGAATTATGCAAGATCCATGAATGACTCTGATAAATGGGTTCTGCGCATAACCCCCTTTACGCATCTGTGTTACGTCTGTAGGCATTCCTTGAAAGCTGATTAAGCAAAAGACTAATAGCAGATCATAAAAAGAGATATGAGCGCTCATTGGAACTGCAGGCGTTGAGTTGATACACAAACCATCATACATTAATACTTCACAAAAGTACATCTTGATATGTCAGATACTACAGGAGTTCTTTCACCAATCTGCATTGCTATTAATGTACCCTACAACACTAGAGGAGATAAAGGAAAAAAAAAAGAAGAGGAAAATAAAAAAAGCATTGCTATAACTTGAAACCTAGGGATTAAGAATAATAACAGCTTCTCCAATTTCGATGAGCTTTTAGATCCAACCATTGCTCGTTGCTTCACCACAGAGGCTAATCCTACAACTTCTTACCTGTACAACAACAATGGTACCAGTTCAAGTTTCAGTAGACTCATCATCACACGATGAATAAATATACCAACAAACTTAGAAACAAAATCAAGAGTAGCTGCCTAAAGTTTTATTTTGAATAAATGGTTTCACATCAACAAAGTGAAAAGGAACATAAGCTCAACTAGATCATACAATGGACGAACTTTCAATCTTCAAAACCGCATAAAAATGAAAACTTTACCATATACACAATTGCTAAGCAGAGACCAAAGAAAGTTTATATTTTTACCTGAACCAGCTCTGCGTTTCCCAAGCTTGGACTTCTCAAGCTCCATTTGCATCTCCATCAACATGTTCATTCGTTGTAACTCAAGCTCCTTGGCAACTTCCATTCTCTGCTTCTCCAATTCAATCATCATCTGCTGCTTCGTACCTTCGATTCTCTCGTAGACTTCTCCTAACTTGAGAATCGCTCTCGCTAGATCCCTACAAGACGACCCTTCACTCGGATCTACATCTTCCACTCGACGATGCTTCCTCACCACAAACCCCCAATCACCCACGTCGTCATCATCGTCATCATCGTCGTCGTCAAGAGAGCTTCCAGTCGATTTAGATCCGGTGGGATGCAAATTAGGGTTCATCAACGCCGGTTTGACCACGCCGGCGCCGGAAGATTTCTTGACAACGGGACCGATTAGGAAATCGAGCCTATCGAAGAAGCACCAGGACGAAGAGGGTTTGGCTTTCTCCGTTTTGTACTTCTTCTTCAAGGTGTCGATCCGGTTCTTACACTGGACGTCGGTCTTTGGCCGGCCATTCCCGTGGCTCGAATTGACGGCGTCGGCGACTTCTTTCCAATCGTTCTGCCGGAGATTTCCACGGTTGAGATGGACGTAGCGTTCTCCCCAGGCCTCGATCAAAGTCGCCGTCGCGTCCTCGCTCCACCAGTCCTCTCGTCCCGCCGGCAGACGGTGAGACCCGCTCTGGGACTGGGGCTTCGACTGAGTCTCCGGCGTCGTCTCCATTTTGAGGGAGGAGGAGGATAAGAATCTGTGGAGGAGGCAGAGAAATCGGATTTGTTGGTAAAGTAATAGAGAAAAACGGTTAATGGGTGGGGGAGGAGATTGATTGATTACCGGCGGTGACGTCAGCAACGGCGATTATCCTCTTCTTCTTCTTTTTTATTTTCCTCTCTTTTTCTCCGCAAACCGACCGAACTAATCTCACTCGAACCCGGTTTTGTCCTAACTGGGTCCCACTAGTACGGGCATTTGACAAGCTTCGTTTAATGCGTTCCCAATGGCAAATGATTTCATTAATTACATTAAACTCACAGGCTAATGATCGGTAATGACGGTTTTGAGTTTCGTTTGTGTTGTCTGCTGCCTATAACCATTTTTTCTACTATTTTTGCTTTTTTTTTTTTTAATACAACAGTCGTTATAGTCTTATAGAATAATAACATTTTTTATATATTTTGTGCATTCCTGTAGCTGAAAATCATATAATTATGGGCTGTATTAAATTGGAGTAGGAGAATTTGGAAGTGAAAAATGGTGGGATGTAATTAAGAAAAGGTGATGTGTAGGCTAATTGTTAGGTAAGAGAGCAATCCCAAACGTGTTAGGTCTTAAGACTATATATCATATGTTTCGTGCCGTGTCTTTTCTATATGTCCTTTTGCTGTCTCACCAATTAACGATGCCACTCAATGGCCTAATCACTGTTTTTTTTTTGGTCGTGTAACTACGTAAAATCTCGCCGGAGTCCTCTTGCAGCTTTGTAGAAAGGTGAGTCTCTTTTCCTTTTGCCAATTGAAGTGTTGGCTGCTGAAGAGCCAATGTATAGCAAAGATCTGTAGATTGACTTGAGGCTTTTCCAAACTAAGGTAAGTCCACATAAAAAAATCAAAAAATCTTTACCATATAATCGTAATATAACAAGGACAAAATGTGAAAGATAAATCACGATTTGCATACTTGATCGATGTGAGTTGAAACGTTTAAAGCAATTTAGTTTGCAAGTGTTAAAGCAATCTTCAATCACACCCTACATTCCCCACTACGCGTAGTTGAACTTGTTTCAAATATGTACTCAAGTTTTAGCCGTGGAGAAGCGTCACCTTTTGTTTTACTATAGAACCAATTCTAATCATTTTAGTAAAATACTAGAGAAATTTACTTAACTGATTTCTAAAATTTGTTCAAATACAATTTTTGTTCTTAGCTTAGTTTACATAACTATTAATTACTCTTTCGTATTGACTTATTTAAATTAAACGAGTATATTATTCTTTTTTCCTTTGTTTTCAAATTACGAGTATAAAATTATACTCCTATATCTTTTTTAGCATGGTAATAAAAGCCTAGCTAACCAATATCTTTGTTGCTATAGTACTTGCTACCATTTGTATGTTGAGAAAACGCAAACGTGCATGCTGCCTAAAGCGTAGTCCTTAATTAATATAGTTCCCAAAGCACTTTGAGAATAATTAAAACAATTTTAAAGCCCATTTTTTTTATCCAAACTTGACTCTTACTTGTACTACTCGTGAAAGCTCTTAATGCTAGTAATTAAGAGTACTACTATTCTCATTATAATATCAATCCATACAATGACGTGACTAAAATTAACTCTATATATATATATATACATACACATTATGCGTTTAACTATACAATCAACGAGAAACACCACGATATACCATCAATCGCCAACCGGGAAATGACGTCATCATCACCGTCTCCAAAAGCCTCGATGCTTTTGTACTGGCACGAGAACCAATACGAAGACCGAAACTTCCAAATCCACGGCCGGACAATCTTCTTCGCCATGGCTATATTCTCCGTCGTCCTTTTCTTGGCCTTACTCACTCTCTACATCCACCGGAGCTGCCACGTACGCGACCCCATCAACATCCATGCGCCATCTCCTCCACTCACGCTTTGCGTTAGCGGAGGGCTTGAGCAGGCCGTGATTCGGAGCTTACCGGTGATGCTTTGCCGGAGAGAAGCGACGGAGGAGGAGGTGGAGAGGGAGTGTTGTATATGTCTCGGTGGTTTCGAAGAAGGAGAGAAGATGAAAGTGCTTCCTCCGTGTCGTCATTGTTACCACTGCGAATGCGTCGATCGGTGGCTTAAGACCGAGTCGACTTGTCCGCTCTGCCGAGTCTCCATCCGAGTCGACTCGTCCACGTTGTTGCCTAGGCAATGAGACTGAAAAACGACGGCGTTTTGAGTGGATCAGAGTGATAGTGATTAAAAATATTGTCAGTTTGTTTTTGTCATTGAGGACTAAAGATATTTTATGCACACAGGGAAGGTTATAGTTTTTCTTAAAGAAATTGTTTTTTTAATGTAAATTTGTTCCTTGCTGTCTATATCAATGATTGTGAGGTTTTTTATAACTTCTTCCGTAGATATTTATTATTTTAGACTAATTTAGTTGTACTTTGTTGACCAAAGTTCTTGTAGATATTTAAAACTGAGCTGACAAAACAAATCTGAGTTAATAATACTCAAAAATTCCAAAAAAATAATTAACACTATCAAATTTACTACTGGTTACAAGTTGGCTTGGAAAAAGAAGAAGTAAGTTTACTGGTTACAAGTTACAAAGGCTTTAATGTGGGCTTTATTGGGCATAGCTCGGCCCAAATCAAACGACTCTCTAGGTTTTATATGGCTGTAGTATAAAGAAGCAATCTGGTGATAGCGGCAAAGAACTTTTTGTTTTGTCGGCCGCTAATTTCCTGAGGCTGCATAGATTCGGAGTGAACTCAGTGAAGGTTTAATCTTCTGTGATCTCACCATGAGGGCGAAGGTGAGTAGTGGGTTTCAATTTCTTTATTGGTTCTAAAAGTCGTAAGAATCGGAGAAACATTGGGTAAGATTTTAATTGGTGTGTATGGTTCTTGTATCAGTGGAAGAAGAAGCGTATGAGGAGATTAAAGAGGAAGAGACGAAAGATGAGACAGCGATCCAAGTAGTTTTGCGAACAAGCCTGGTTTTATGTTTCTTCGCTTTTAGAATCAAACTCTTTCGAGTTATAATTTGAATGTTTTGTTGGACGAAATTAGTAGACATTATTATGCTTTCTATTAAGAATTATGTTTAACACACGGAAAAATTCGCATGGGTTTCTTCTACATTACTCTTCTCTCATATATTTTTTGCTCCGAATGTTGAACAATTTTCGTAAGTTTGAATCGGCCTGGGACCTCTGATATAAACTGATTGCTTCGGATTTAGCTATAGGGGTGCAGTGTGTTGTCTCAGTTTGAAAAGTAAATCAAAGGGACGAGTTGTGTATTTTACCTGAAGAAAGGGCGAAACCATAAATTAGCTGATTGCTGGAGATTATTTCGCGGGTTGAATTTTGTTGTTCAAAATATATTGAAAGTTTGAAACTTAACTAGAGAGAATTTTTGGTGAGAGAAATGTGTTTTTGTATTTGGCAAGTGAGTTGAAATTTCATACCTACTTATTTGATAAAAAAAAACCGCTCTCTTTACAATGACTGCTTTTGAAAAATTAAGCTAAGAGATAGAAGAGTGTTGCAACGATTTAGAAAAATAAGGGAAATGAAAACCGGCGTGTTTCCTCTTCATTGCATTGACGTATTTATATCTTTCCCCATGAAGAGAATAAGTGGGTGAGTAAAACAATTCATTTCAACAACTACAGTATTATACGTCCGTATTTTTCAAATAAAAAATAACGAAGAATGGTTCATATGACATAGTATATGGAAAAATAAGGGAAATGAACTGAGTCTTAGTAGCTCGCCCATCGATGGCATTACGAATGGTTCATATGACATAGTATATGCTTACCAAATTAATCAGAATGTATGCGAAGTCACACATGTTGTCATAATATGTGCTGATTATACGACAATTACGTTAATCAAAAGCAAAAAGTATATCTACATAAATAATCGATAATTAAACATTATTTTATTTCTTTATTTTATTTAGATGAGGGGAAGTAGAAGTGTTGCACTTGCACGATCTAGTGATCGACATATTCTTTTTTTTTTTTTTTTGGTCGAATGATCGACATATTCATCTACGAACACATAGACAGACCGGGAATAGTAGCAGCTATGTACGAGAGTCTTTGCATTATTTGTCACATACAGGACAACTATTTGAAAAGAGCACTTACATAGTGGATATGCTTGATTGCGTGCTCATAGTGTTAGAACATATATTTTTTCTTTATAATTTATTTTTAGTAATGGAGTTGCGTTTCTGAATTCATCTGATAAGTGAAACTGATTGATTCATCTAACAAAAATATTATCAAACTTCTTTCAAAAGCCAAACCAACAAAAAGAGGAAGTATGTAAAAAAGTAAAAAAAATCCATAGAATTCAAAAAGGGTTTAAAATGTCGAAATTTAAGTCAAAAGAATAAGCTAAAAGACAGTAACAAACAACTCAAAGACTATAAAGGAGTCACCTCTCTCCCATCCAAAGAAAAATAGTAAAATGGCCTTCAACCAAAAATGACTCTCGCCTAAACACCCCAAAGAATATTACAAAACAAAGAAAGTACCTTTATTATCCACACATACCTATAAAATCAAACAAAGGAAGCATTCGGGACGAGTTCAGGTCAGATTCCACACTGTAGTAGACGAATACCATTCCTGTGAGAATGCGCGAGACTATGAGCAGCCATGAGGAGTCTTTGGAATACTACTTTTGAACGGATAGTTTCCAATGGGTGTCTTAGTAGCCGCCCATAGGAGGCATTCCAAATGGTGGCATTGGAGGCATTCCGCCCATCGGTGGTGGCGGACCATAACCTCCTCCCATCCCTGGAGGACCTCCTCCTCCCATTCCTGGCATCGGTGGGGCAGGTAGAGCCAGTGGCAATAATTGGGCGTACATGTTCTGTTTTGATAGTTTAAAACAAAGGGCATAAGTGTTTTTTTCCCGATTTATTTTCTAGGGATGGATATGATGTCTGAGTGCAGCAGCTCTGTAAGTAGTAGTACCTGTTGGGACATGACCTCCTTCTCTTCTTGCTCTTTGGCCTTCACTTCTTTTTGTGCCTCTATCTTGTCCTTTATTAGTTCATCCACTTTGCCAGAGTATTCTCGGATAAACTGCAAAAACAAAAAAGAGTGATTAACTCATATATATGGTTCCTATCTCGTTTGAGGGATTTGGAGGATAAATCACCTGGAGGAGATACGGGAAGGCAAAGTCGATCATATTGTTGATCCAAGCAAGTTCTAGAGCAACATCTGGTCTGATTAAGTCATAACAGACAAATAGACATGTGGCAAAGCATTCCTTTTTCCCCTGTAAAATCAATAAACGCGACACACACACACACACACAACAAAAAATGGGATTCTTAATATCAAAATTTGACGTAAATTTGATGCCTTTTTATGTAATTGTGAATGAAAGACATCTATACCTGTTCAATGAAGTAAACCAGAAGTTGTTCTGCAAGGTCATGGTCACCCGATTGTGAAGCAGTTTCCATACAGTCCTTGTACATGTTATCTTTCTTTGACAAAGCAATTGATTGCTTCCATCTACCAGCTTTCTTGTAGATATACGCAGCCACACGTCTCATTTCTACAAGCTCGTGTTTTTCAATCTGTTTGCACCATTCACGTGAAGATTTTATTAATTCTGATGCAAGGGAAGCGATCAAACGTGTACTCGTTACATAGACTTAAGCTCTTACCTTCTGAGCGAGGCCTATCTGGTCAAAACTGTCATGCAAATCGATAGACTCACGCAACCTGTCATAGTCTTCTTCTTCTACGTATATCTCATTCAGAGCTTCATTTACAGCAGAGACATTGTTGCTCTGAACTGCAACCATGTATGGCTTGATAAGGCGCAAGTGACCAGCCTGAGTTCAGAAACAAATTGAAATCATATGAAATCGATTGTTAAGCCACAGCAGATAAATTTTAAGGGGAAAATAAAACCAATGGTCAGCCTCTAACCTTGCGCATAATATCAACGACACGCGTGTGATCTAACCGCAGGGCAAGCACATTGAGAAGATCATTGATTATATCAGGGTGCTCTTGTAAGTAGAAGTGAACGGCCTTGTAGTAAAGCTCGACATTCGCAACCTTGGCGACAATGTCTTTGAATTGCATGTGTTCCCATGCTTCAGGAGAATGGTTCATGACAGTGGTTGCAGCATTATCAAACTCATCATATTGAATGTAAAGATAGGTAAGTTCCTGCCAGTGCTGTTGTTCATCACAGGCCCGTATAAGCTTGGGAATATTGAGGCGAGTCGAGAACAACTTGATGTGTTCCATAAGCTTCTCATAACGATATCTGGCGTATAGTACACCCAACTCCGTGAAGATCCCCATGTGAGCCCGTTCCAGACCAAGTCCACTCTCCATAAGTGAGATTAATTCGTTGAAGCATCCTCTGTTCTGGTAGTACTCGCTGACTTCTTCCAAATCATCCACCTATTAGACCACAAAAAGATTAAACGTGGGATAATAATATCATGCAAAAACCGAAGATAAACTTTCACCAAGATTATGTATTTACTCACCTGTATGATAATGTTAAGTCCACATATTTGAGCCAACCGGAATTCCTCTGCATCAACACAAGCAAAGCAGACTTCCTTCCATGTCTTTGCACTGTTTGCTTTCCTTGCAGCATCAACAGCACCTTGGAACTGTTGCAACTTCACAAGTGTGACGGCTAACTTGGCCCAATTCGATATAAACGCATAAATTATTTTTGCAGCCTCATACAGCGCTTCGTCATACAGGCGATCACCGACATTTTGTAGGTTAGCAACGTTTGGCATTAGAATAAATTCTTCAATCTCACCCAACCTTTCAATCTTTGCATAAGCATAGATGAGCTCACTATCAACCTTGGGTTCCTTCACCTTCTGTCTAACCATCAACAGGTATCTGACCAAGTCATCATAGACATTCGTATCTTCAGAGGCACGGATGACCTCCAGGAATTGAGTGGCATCATCAGCTCGGATAAAGGACTCGATTGCATCACTGACTAGTCCATCCCTGAGTTGAGCCTTAGCGACTTGGCTCCACACTGCATCTTCTTCGACTCGGAAAGCAAACTCAACAGCACGCTCAATGCTTCTGACGTTATCCAACAATACGTTGACAGCCTGAACATTTAAGTTAAACTTCTTGAAAATCGCAAATGCTTCCTCATACAGCTGGGCATCAACCGCCACTTCTCCAACAGCCGGACCATCAAAATTATCAAGCCTGTTAATGTAATCCATAACTCTAGACGGATCTGCCTTGATAGCCGTCAGTATAAGCAGATTTTGCAGGTTGAAGTTTCCACTGAAGGCAGAATTTTGAAGCACAATCTTTTCAAGAAGCTCAATGAGCTCATGCGGCAGATCAGCAGTCATGAATGCTTTAACAGCTGCAGAAACTTGCTCTGGGCTCTTGCTTTCGGGTAAAGCAGTAGACACAACTTGGTCAATAAGTTGTCTTCTATATTCATTTTCTTCCGTAAGAACCTTCTCCCAGAGGTCACCATCCATCCTCTCCACTACGTACCTGCAGTTGGAAAAACATGCATAAGCAAACTACAGAGTAACCGCTGTGGAATAAGTAAGAAATTTGGTGAGCAATAATCAAATACCTGGCTTGTAACTTGAACAAAGAGTTCTTGTTGGTGACATTGATGAGTTCCTCATCACATTGTCCTCTTCTATATGCCACAACAGCCAGGGTGGGATCACGTTTCTCACAGTACTTACCCACAACCTTGGAGTCGTAGTAAGGGTTGGTGGTCAGGAAATGCTCAGGGTTGTTGTTACTGTCTATGATAATTTTACCCAAGGCATTATGGACATGCACATCTTGGCTTCCCTCACTAACTAGATGCTCCAAGAATTGAGTGAGGAGACGAAGTCGATTTCTGAAAAGATATATACATGTTAGAGCATTAAGACAAAGAGGCATACTCATGAATGGAAACCACTAAAAAGGATTCATACCTCTTCTCACATTCCTCAACAAGGGGTTCAACAGGAAGCAATGAACGAACAGAGAGAATGAGGCCTTTTATAAAATCTTCAGGGCATTCGTCATCAAGCAACTGTCCCACCACTAAGGGAGCATTCCCAGGGTTCACCTGCAAAAGGAATC